TCCTGTCTCCTCGTGAAGCTCTGGATGAGCTTAACCTCCTGTCTCTTCGTGAAGCTCTGGATGAGCTTAACCTCCTGTCTCTTCGTGAAAGCTCTGGATGAGCTTAACCTCCTGTCTCTTTGTGAAAGCTCTGGATGAGCTTAACCACCTGTCTCCTCGTGAAAGCTCTGGATGAGCTTAACCTCCTGTCTCTTTGTGAAAGCTCTGGATGAGCTTAACCTCCTGTCTCTTTGTGAAAGCTCTGGATGAGCTTAACCTCCTGTCTCTTCGTGAAGCCCTGGAAGAGCAGTCTCTCTGGCACCTGTCTCTGGCCTGCAGCTCTGGGAGAGTTGCATCACAGGAAGCCAGTCCCTAGCCTGACGCTCTAGGAAAGCTAACCTGCTAACCTGCCCTGGTGAGCCTACCCATGAATTCTACGTGGATGCTACCTGACGACTCCTCTGTGGAGTTTCCCTAAGAGGTTCCCATGTGGATTTCCCCTGTTGTTCCCTGCAGTGAGCTGGAAGCTCAAACTCAGCTCACATCCAGCCATCTCCCTTTCCCCGCACAGACCCCAGCGGATTAGTTCCCTGCCTGAACTGTGATTCATGTGCTTGTGCCTTTAATAAACTCTTTGGACTTTTACCAGTGCCTCCGTGTGTGTTCTGCATCTTGGGCTTACTCTCTGTGACACCCATCATGACAGTTGGGATCTGGAGAAGTTCCACCTTTCTCCAGCAGAGTTCGCCGTGGATCCTCCTGAGCTGAGCCTTCGACACACCTGAGGCGCATCTCATCATCAGGAGGATCCTCCAGTATATAACCTGCCTTCAGACCTTGCCTCAACGCCTCAGTGTTTATCCAGTTTGGTTAGCACCTGAGCCTAGCATCTCCTGAGTACCTTCGTTGCTTCTGTTCCCTGGTTGGATTCTAATCCCTCTTTGTCTCTGCTTACAGGATTCCTGTTTCCCTTGTAAGCTCTGGAAGAGCTTAACCTGCCGAGCCTGCCCTCTCAGCCAAACCTGAAGACTCTTCTCTGGATTCCTATGCAGCTCTGGACTAAGAGCTGGAAACCCAAAGCCAAGGTCTGCCCTCACGCTAGAAGTAAGACGCTGAAGCGGTTATTGGACTCTGCTGAACTAAACAGTCTCTGGACCCAACAGTTCCTCTCTCAAAGCCAAACCCGGACTCCTCAAGGTATCAATCAGAAACTCTCAAACTCAAACTCATCTGCTCCCAAGCTAACTGAACTGTCATCCTCACAGACTCCAGTGAACCTGCCCCCAGGCCTGAACCAGTTCCTGTGTTTATTCCATATGCTTGTGCTTAATAAAACTTGTTAAACTTTTCATCTGTCTCCGTGGTGTTCTGCATACTGGGCTTTTCTGGAACCCATCATGACACATGTCTTGTTTGTTAGGTCAGATTGTGCTTCAGTTCTTTATGTTAGTACCTGAACTGAGGTCTGTTTTGTTGACCTCTGTTTTTAGGCCCAGTTTATCATCTTTTGAACATTTTTTTAAAATAAATTAAGAACTTTTTCTTTTAAATTCAGTGGTTTTCTGGCTGGTTTGTTCGAATCCCTTCCAGGGGGGTGGCCGCTGGGCCGCTGACTGGACCGGACCGGACTGGACCGGACCGGGCATTCGAACCGATCCTTACCGTGCTTCCCCCCGCCTGCCTTACCGAGCAGGCGGGGGGAAGCACAGGGCCACCGATGCCCAGGCTACCGTCACCGGGTCGGGTTTGGTTGCCTCATCCCCTGATGGCTGCCTGCCCCTGGCCACCGGAGTTCCCAGACCAGCCCCGGAGCTGACGGCTCGGTTCAAGTGCCTGGTCTGTTTCGACCCGTGCTGCACTGTAGGCGACCAAAATCCCGGATGATGTTGAAACTCCCCCCGGACATTTTTTTAGGTATGAAAAGTAGGACATATCCGGGAAAAAGAGGACGTCTGGTCCCCCTACCATATCAACAATCTGATGTTTCAGTGACTGAGTGCTTGTTGCTATGATGTGTCTTTGCTCAGCAGCTTCCCTCGTTGTAAACCAACCAATCAGAGCACAGCTCATCTAAATATTCATGATCAAACCATAAAAGGAAGAAAACCTGTGGTTTCATTCTAGGGCTTTTAACCAGGCTGCATTAGGGCTCATAGAACAGCTAATAGGCCATTTTCAGCCCAACCAATGTTACTATATTCTAATTCTTATTAGTAAAAAAAAAAAAAAACAATAATTACCATTTGCTCACATTGTCATTGATTCTTTATAGTCTTCTTTTTCCCATTTAGATTGTTAATGTAATGTAAAAAAAAATGTTATGGTTCAAAATGTTCATGTTTTAGCATGATTTTTAAGGTCCTTAGTGGACCACACGGGAAAAAAGAAAAAGTTAAATAAAAAAAAAGTAAAAAAAAATATATATATATTATGGAAATTAGGCAATGACGTCATTCAGCGACTTATAGCACAGCCAATAGCTACTTTCCTTTCTGAGGAGTTGGCAACACTGCTTCTCTAGGACTGAACAGAACCAACCAACCCAAATCAGACTCTAGAACGGAACCAAAGCCCACCTCCTCCATTCCACTGAGCCAGCACCTTTCCCCTCTTTCATCTGATGCTTAGCAGATACTCTGCTTGGGCGAGAGCTAGGCAGAAAAGTTCATTTTAGATGTGTTGTGTGTTTTATTTAAAAGAAGCTTTCTGGTTCAACTGCAGATGGTTTCTCAGTCAGAGTTCTGAACTGAATGCTAACGCTAACTGATCCTGGCTGAATGATCCATGCTGCGTGTTACTGTCTTCTTAATTCCTCATTTGCATTTGGTTCAAGGGTTAGGCTACTACGGTTGGATTTGATAGCATTGTTAGCTCCAAGATAATAACAATAGCTTGTTATTGCTAGCTCCCTATGGTAGCAGCCTTTCTGAGTCCTCTGTCCTGCCCCTAAACCGGACCGCCTGGTACCAGCTGAATTAACCCATTCTTTACAGCGTTACTATATTTTAATGCATTCCTGAGTCTTTTGTTCATTTTCACTGATTGATTGCATTTCAAATCTCTGCATTAGTTATTCACATTTATCTGCTGGTATTTTAAAGGAAACTTTTAATGCATTAAGCCTTAAAACTTGAACATTCTTCAAAAACTCTTGAATGGACTCTTTAAATCCTTTTTTGTCTGCTTTTATTTATTTGTGCTTATTTTCAGTATAGTTTAGCATTTACACAGTCATTATATAAAATAATCCAGTGATAGGGATTAATAGTTATTAAAGGCATCATTGTATTTTAACCTTTGGTGTTTTTTAGTTATTTTATGTAGTGAACGATTTGTCACTCAGGTCAGATCTACCCTCCTTTTGGTTAACAGTCCAGGAGTCCGACCTTAATGTAAAAGACTAAACCCTGGTGAGTAAGCAGATTACAGTTCGAATTGTTTAAATAATATTAGATAACATTTATTGGCTTTACCCATGATTTCAATGACATATTAATTAACTATACCTCCCAGTTTAATATATTCATAATCTTTGGGTAAAATTGCACAACAGATGTATCAGACAGATTAGACTGCAAATGTTACACATAGATGCAAATACGCTACTCGTCCACTGATGAGGAGCCATTTATCATCTTTTGGTGGACGTTCATGTTAGACTTTATCTTGTTAATGTTAAGAATCCTGTTTGTGTTGGTTGTTTTTCTCTCTCCACCACCAGGTGGCGCCCTGTCCTCGTTGGGCCTCCCTGCACACATCCGGCTCATTGGACCATTACTGGAGGAGTATTTGAGCAGTGGGCTGTCACTACGTCGACGCCAGAGTGTTTGCCAGTTTTGGGTACTCTAGCCAAGCTGAGATTAGCAGAATCTAACCTAAGCTTTGTTTCTCTGAGAAATATCAAGTTTTTGTCTTTGCTCTTCAGCAGGAAGCCTTCCTGAGTAACTAGATACCTGGACCTTCTCCCCCTGGAAGGATTAACTGAGTACACACTGAGCAGGGGAAAACCTCCACATGATCCGTTCAAGTCCTCATCGGAAATCCAAGTGACAGTCCGCTCCTTTACTCCTCTGGGTCCAACGTTTGTCTATCTGTCTCCTCTCTAGATTAACCCCCACAAGCTGGATTCAGGGATTAACAAGAGCCCCTTCAAACTTGAGTTCCTCTTCAGTAATATTCAAGCCTCAGTCAAATTTCCTACGATCCCTGAACTGATCACTGTGATCTCCCCTTCAGACTTTCCAGTTCCGATTCACCAGTCCGCTGAGTTCCAGATCCAACTTCTGTTATTCATCTACATTTAATAAACCTGTTAAACGTTTCTCCTTGGTCTCTGAGTGGTTCTCTGCATGTGGGTCAGATCACTTAAACCAACCATGACAGTTAAGGTTCCACAACACTGAAAATATGCCATGTTTATTTCATTTAACTGTTAGAAGGTGTAAGAGGTCCATATTGATGCCAGTCATGAATACACAAGTCTAAATGAATTTATGTTATTGGTTAAATAAGCAGAATACTGAGTAGGAGTGTTTTCAGCTGTTAGATGGTCATATTTATATCAGCAGGTGCACTAAATGACCTCAGTGATCTAATCCAATTAGACATCTCTGGATCATCATGTTCAGGTCTATCTGATACTACCAGGTTGCACCTCAAACTGTCCGGGAGCTCAGTGATGTGATGCGACCTCCTGACGCCCTTGTCCCTAGGAGGTCTTCCTCTGCAGACCAACCAGTCAGGACCTTGGAGAGCTACTGAAGGACCTGCCCGCCATGTGGACCAGCTGCAGCAGTTTTTCAGGTTAAGTCTATCTTCAGCCAACCATGTGTCCTCCTAATGCTGCCAACATGTTAGCCATTGCCTTTCAGTTTGGATATCCAGCACGATTAGTCTTTCAATGTGTTCTAATCCTCGTTCAAAGTGTTCCTTTTGTTTTTTTAGTGGTGTCTAAACATTTTTAAGGTTTTTAATTTTCCATCTGATCTAACCAAAGCGAGCTCTTGGTTGTGGCGCCTGACCTTTATCATTTGGGAAAGATCTCCAGCATCTGCCAGCTCCAACACAATGTTCAGCTCGTTGTCTTCAATAAAGGAGTCCAGATACTTGATTACATTTGGATGATTCAGTTGCTGAAAAACACAAACAGGAAGAACATTCTTAGTAATTATTCCAAAGGAGCGTTTTTATCTTTACCGACCATCTCATGCTAGCTAAACCTAAGCAGAAGATATTTTTTGATTCCGCAACTCTCACCACCCGATCCGTCTCTGAAGCTCCGTCCGTCCTGCGCATTCCTTTTGAATATTTTCTATTTGCATAAATATTGCATATTCTAAAAACTGAAAAAGCAATACTTTGAAACAATACTGTGACTGCTCAGAGCATGTCCGACGATGATGTCACGCAATACAATGGAGAGAATGTAATACGTAACCTTTTCTTTCAGAAAAATCTTCTATATTTTCTATACGATGTAGTTTAGCATTCTTTAATGATTGAGGAATATAAATAAGTATTTTCAGTACCTTCATTACTTACGTTTTTGGCGATCAGATGTTATTATTCTGTTTGCGTATGCGCAGCATGGATCAGGCTTCTGGGAAGAATCGGGTAGCGACAGCTACCACTTAAAGCTGGCTAAATATTTCCATTTAGTGAACATTTAGCTACCACTGTTAGGTTTTAATTCCAGCTCAGAGTAAACTGGAATTAAAGTCAACTTTAATCACCCCAAAAAATCAACGTAATGCTTCCTGCTTTAAGGTGATCAGTGAACCAAAGAAACTTTCAGGCTTTTGTTTGAATCTGTCCGATTAAAATGAATAAAGGTTTCTGATGGTGTCACTGCTGTTTGGCTGTGACACCATCCTGGAGAGAAATATCAGCTGTGCTGCTGCCATCAACACCTTTGTTTCTAGATGTTGGAGCTTGGCCTGTTTTCCAGTGTAGTCCTGTTTCTCTGACTGTGACTAACTGGATGTGCTCTCTTCATCCTCTGACATGGGAGCTGGCTCGGAGCTCGTCTGCCTGGCTGTGTGTTTCCTGGACGGGGCCGCCTGTGGAGCTGGTTGACAGTTGCCTTTTGTATCTATGCTTCTTTTTCTATGTCTGCTTCTGTCTCCTTGAACCCCAGTGGGCCTCAGCAGATGGCCGCTCACACTGAGCCTGGTTCTGCTGGAGGTTTCTTCCTGTTCAAAGGGAGTTTTTCCTCTCCACTGTCGCTACAAGCATGCTTAGTGTGAGGGATTGCTGAAGAGTCAATGAGTCGATGCAATCAGCTGGTTTTCCTTAGATAGAAAACTTTGAATCAATCTGACTGGATGATCTGGTGAACTGGAAAGTGACCTGAGATGACATGATGTGAATTGGAGCTATAGAAATAAACTGAATAGAATTGAAAGTTAACACAATACTACAGAATATGAAGTACACATGATCCCAGTGATGCAGGAGTCAGGGCCTCGGTGGCATGAGGCCATGATGGGGAGAACATGAAGCTGTCTAAGAACGGGGCTGATAAGGTGGAGGGTTGGGGTGGGGGTAATACTATGGGCTGCAGGAACAGGAGGAAACTACAGCAGGCGATGAAATCATGAATAAGGACAAAGTGAAGAGGGGCTGACAGGGACAAAGCAGTTCATAGCCTGCATGTGGAAATAAGCAGAACAGGTGATGCTATTTATTTGGGGTTTAAAGAGGAGGGGGCTGTCAAGGATGACACCCAGGCACGTCACTTTAAAGGAGGGGGAGATTAGAAGCTGTCAATAGTCAAAGAAAAGCTGTTGGTTAAGAGAATTTTTGTTTTATCTGAGTTTAGTTCAAGAAAATTTGTTTTGAACTAAGAGTCGATATCTGAGGGGTACGAGGAGAGAGGGAAGGGGGGCTGACATGGCAGGGGTTGCAGGCGGGGTAGAGCGAGGTGTCATCTGCGTAGCAGGTAAACTGGATTTTGACGTGAAGGAAGATGAAGCTCAGGGGAAAAGATCAATAATTACAGCAGAAGAGATTTACTCCAGGAAGGATCCATGATGTTCTAGAGTTCAGTACTGCTTAAGGAGGCTGAATGTTGGAGTCGCTCTGCTAGCCTTCCTCTGATATTCCTTTCTTTGTGGATCAGTTTCTTTTTTCTAAACTTTTTCTCCTCTGTTGTTGAAAGATGTGAAACTGGAGGGTTTTTCACTGATATTTCTGTCCTTTTTGGATGCTTGTTATGATGCGTAACCATAGCAACCATAGCAACCATAGCAAGTTGATTTTATCACACCCAGGAGCAGCAGGTCTTTAACATCTCTAAATAACACTTCAACTACTTCTACAAGTACCAACAGAGTTTAGAAGGAGGTGCCGGGATGCAAGTAGCAAAGAAGAAGAGAGAGCAAGAAGAAATTTAAAATATCTCTTCCATCAGTCATCATGGCCAATGTAGATCTTTAGCAAACATCTTAGAAGAACTCCCAGTCCCAGCAAGCACCCAGCCAGAATACCAGCAATGCAGCATGATGTGTTTGACTGAAACATGGCTGCAGGATCATAGCTCAGACTCCGGCGTCTCTCTGACTCTGGACGGGGCCGCCTTTTACAGCTGCTTTTTGTATCTCTGCTTCTGTCTCCTTGAACCCCAGTCGGCCTCGGCAGATGGCCGCTCACACTGAGCCTGGTTCTGCTGGAGGTTTCTTCCTGTTAAAAGGGAGTTTTTCCTCTCCACTGTCGCTACAAGCATGCTTAGTGTGGGGGATTGTATTTGAGTCAATGAGTCAATGCAATCAGCTGGTTTTCCTTAGATAGAAAACTTTGTATCAATTTGACTGTATGATCTGGTTGAACTGTAAAGTGCCTTGAGATGACATGTGTTGTGAATTTGGCGCTATATAAATAAACTGAATTGAATTGAATTGACCGTACCAGCAGGCAGACATTTAAAGAAGACTGGGAAACTCAAAGGAGGGGGGTTGGCAGAGTTAGTGACCAACAGATGGAGGACATGTTGGTGAGAAGATTCATCACTGCAGCCCAGATGCTGAACTGTTGTTTCCGACCGTATTATCGGCCTAGAGGGTTTACCAGTGTTTTGGCAACAGTTTATATTCCACCTTCTGCCTTTCCTGAAACTTTGAGTGATGTCATCAGTTCTGTTGTTGCTAAGCTACGGGCACAGCAGCCGCATGCATTTGTGGCAATAACTGGTGATTAAAATCACCAGGATTATGCAGGACTAATGTCTGCAGGGGTTTTAATTTAAGTCAAAGTCTCAGTTTACCATTAGCGCCTTACCTTCAGAAGATCAATCTCCTTGATGCAGTCCTTACGAGCCTTCATATCCATCATCTCAAAGATCTGCAGTGGTAGAGCAGAGTGTGGTTATCTGAGTGTGTTGCACTGTAAAATGTTTTAGGTTAATGGATATGAGCCTCCTGCCAGTGGCCGACACACTGGGGCGGGACTACTTCCTGGAGTGTTTCTGAGGCAGCATACCTGGACTTTCTTGAGTGCAACGAGCTGGCCGTCCAGCAGATACGTGGCTTTATAAACCTCGCTGAACTGACCGCGTCCGATCTTCTTCTCAATGCGGAAGTTGGCCGCAGTGCAGCAGTACTTCAGGCTTGATGCGTTTTTCTGTTCAATGGGAGGGTCAGAGAAATAAAACAGTAGTCAGACTGAGGTCGGCGGTGCTAGATGGTCCGGTCTGACACGCCCACATGGACGCCTGCCAGTAGCAGCTCCAACACAGTAAATGTTGCAGTGGTAAAATAACACTTTGAGTGTTAAAGTAGCACTTTGAGAGTGCATTTGGTCCCACACTAATTCAGAGTGGGACCAAATGTACTCTTAAGTGTTACTTTAACACTAAAAGTGTTACTTTAAGACAGCAACATTTACTGTGAACGTCTGATCCTCCGCTGGAGGCACCACCCCTCTCACCTGATCCTCCTGAGCTTTTAGCGTGCACAGATTGTTGTGATTGTCCAGAGCAGGCTGGTTGTTGTTTTCTGCTTCCATGTTGACTCAAACACCTGCAACAAACAGCGACAGGAGATAAAACTATAAAACACAAAGAACTACGAACGGCAGGAGAAGAGCTTGGCTGAGAGGTGGTGGAAACCAAACACTGATAAACATCTCTGTCTAGTTTGTCTGATCAACCATGTTTGCATTAAATGCAGGGACGTTATTGACATTACTGGGATGAAATGTCCTAAAGGTTAAATCCACATGTCTTTGTGGAACTGTTGAAACCCAGAGAACATTAGAGTAAAAGGATGTTCATGTTGCCTGTTTTCATGAGTCAGCTCTTTTAGCTTCCCCTCTAATATTCTCACATCTGCTTTGTTGGTCAAAAAAGGAAAGAAACTGTGAGTGAATGAACGACGAGCAGCTCATTGACTAAAGTTAAACTAAGCTGCAGCTCACGTCACACAACTGAAAGTCACCAAAGCATTTCATGATTTCTATGAGCTAAAATTAAAACGTCTTCATGCAAAAAGGCATGCAAGTAATTCCTGGCACCAGATGGGACTGGACCATCTGAACCACCGAACCGTTTCCTCCTCCTGGACCTCCCATTTACTGAGGCTCTGGTCTGGAGCAACTTTGAATAATCTCTAGATTAAAGGTTGCTTTTGGTATTTTGTTTTTTTTGCAGAGCTTCTTTCCCGTTTAGCCATTTGCTGCTTGTTTTCACTCACTGGCAAACAGGCAGCATGTAAACAAAGAAGGAGAAAGGTTTAAAAAAAAAAAAACCCTGAACCTGAATGAACGGTACTGACCCGGCTACATTTGGACATCGATTAATTGTTAAACTGGAATATAAAAACTTGAAAACACACCTTTAGCTGACAGAGCTGAGAGCAGCAATTATACCAAGAATGTGAAAAACTATATATAAATATTTTGCATTGAAGATTAAAAACCTTTTCATCTGTAAATACGCTTTATCCAGGAACAGTTTTAGTTTCACCTGGTTTATTTCTGTATAAAATCCTCTTTAAGGAACCTTTGGCTCTGATTATTATAATAATCAACAGAATAATTGATAAGCAAAGCAATCATTAGTTGCAGCCCAAGCATCAGGTGACCTTTCAGTTCTGCTGTCTTTCACCTCCAGAGCTCAGATGGACGCCATGCAGCATCAGCTGCAGAGGAGGCCTCCCTCCAGCCTGCAGGCTTCAGCAGGACCCGGCCTCCTCTCCAGCCTGCAGGCTTCAGCAGGACCCGGCCTCCTCTCCAGCCTGCAGGCTTCAGCAGGACCCGGCCTCCTCTCCAGCCTGCAGGCTTCAGCAGGACCCGGCCTCCTCTCCAGCCTGCAGGCTTCAGCAGGACCCGGCCTCCTCTCCAGCCTGCAGGCTTCAGCAGGACCAGGCCGCCTCTCCAGCCTGCAGGCTTCAGCAGGACCAGGCCTCCTCTCCAGCCTGCAGGCTTCAGCAGGACCAGGCCTCCTCTCCAGCCTGCAGGCTTCAGCAGGACCCGGCCTCCTCTCCAGCCTGCAGGCTTCAGCAGGACCCGGCCTCCTCTCCAGCCTGCAGGCTTCAGCAGGACCAGGCCTCCTCTCCAGCCTGCAGGCTTCAGCAGGACCCGGCCTCCTCTCCAGCCTGCAGGCTTCAGCAGGACCCGGCCTCCTCTCCAGCCTGCAGGCTTCAGCAGGACCAGGCCTCCTCTCCAGCCTGCAGGCTTCAGCAGGACCAGGCCTCCTCTCCAGCCTGCAGGCTTCAGCAGGACCCGGCCTCCTCTCCAGCCTGCAGGCTTCAGCAGGACCCGGCCTCCCTCCAGCCTGCAGGCATCAGCAGGACCAGGCCTCCTCTCCAGCCTGCAGGCATCAGCAGGACCAGGCCTCCCTCCAGCCTGCAGGCATCAGCAGGACCAGGCCTCCCTCAGCCTGCAGGCTTCAGCAGGACCAGGCCTCCCTCCAGCCTGCAGGCTTCAGCAGGACCAGGCCTCCTCTCCAGCCTGCAGGCTTCAGCAGGACCCGGCCTCCTCTCCAGCCTGCAGGCTTCAGCAGGACCCGGCCTCCTCTCCAGCCTGCAGGCTTCAGCAGGACCCGGCTTCCTCTCCAGCCTGCAGGCTTCAGCAGGACCAGGCCTCCTCTCCAGCCTGCAGGCTTCAGCAGGACCCGGCCTCCCTCCAGCCTGCAGGCATCAGCAGGACCAGGCCTCCTCTCCAGCCTGCAGGCTTCAGCAGGACCAGGCCTCCTCTCCAGCCTGCAGGCTTCAGCAGGACCCGGCCTCCTCTCCAGCCTGCAGGCTTCAGCAGGACCCGGCCTCCCTCCAGCCTGCAGGCATCAGCAGGACCAGGCCTCCTCTCCAGCCTGCAGGCATCAGCAGGACCAGGCCTCCCTCCAGCCTGCAGGCATCAGCAGGACCAGGCCTCCCTCAGCCTGCAGGCTTCAGCAGGACCAGGCCTCCCTCCAGCCTGCAGGCTTCAGCAGGACCCGGCCTCCTCTCCAGCCTGCAGGCTTCAGCAGGACCCGGCTTCCTCTCCAGCCTGCAGGCTTCAGCAGGACCAGGCCTCCTCTCCAGCCTGCAGGCTTCAGCAGGACCCGGCCTCCCTCCAGCCTGCAGGCATCAGCAGGGCCAGGCCTCCTCTCCAGCCTGCAGGCTTCAGCAGGACCAGGCCTCCTCTCCAGCCTGCAGGCTTCAGCAGGACCCGGCCTCCTCTCCAGCCTGCAGGCTTCAGCAGGACCCGGCCTCCCTCCAGCCTGCAGGCATCAGCAGGACCAGGCCTCCTCTCCAGCCTGCAGGCATCAGCAGGACCAGGCCTCCCTCCAGCCTGCAGGCATCAGCAGGACCAGGCCTCCCTCAGCCTGCAGGCTTCAGCAGGACCAGGCCTCCCTCCAGCCTGCAGGCTTCAGCAGGACCAGGCCTCCCTCCAGCCTGCAGGCTTCAGCAGGACCAGGCCTCCTCTCCAGCCTGCAGGCATCAGCAGGACCAGGCCTCCTCTCCAGCCTGCAGGCTTCAGCAGGACCCGGCCTCCTCTCCAGCCTGCAGGCTTAAGGCAGGACCCGGCCTCCTCTCCAGCCTGCAGGCTTCAGCAGGACCAGGCCTCCTCTCCAGCCTGCAGGCATCAGCAGGACCAGGCCTCCTCTCCAGCCTGCAGGCTTCAGCAGGACCCGGCCTCCCTCCAGCCTGCAGGCATCAGCAGGACCAGGCCTCCTCTCCAGCCTGCAGGCATCAGCAGGACCAGGCCTCCTCTCCAGCCTGCAGGCTTCAGCAGGACCAGGCCTCCTCTCCAGCCTGCAGGCATCAGCAGGACCAGGCCTCCTCTCCAGCCTGCAGGCTTCAGCAGGACCAGGCCTCCTCTCCAGCCTGCAGGCTTCAGCAGGACCAGGCCTCCCTCCAGCCTGCAGGCTTCAGCAGGACCAGGCCTCCTCTCCAGCCTGCAGGCATCAGCAGGACCAGGCCTCCTCTCCAGCCTGCAGGCTTCAGCAGGACCCGGCCTCCTCTCCAGCCTGCAGGCTTAAGGCAGGACCCGGCCTCCTCTCCAGCCTGCAGGCTTCAGCAGGACCAGGCCTCCTCTCCAGCCTGCAGGCTTCAGCAGGACCCGGCCTCCCTCCAGCCTGCAGGCATCAGCAGGACCAGGCCTCCTCTCCAGCCTGCAGGCTTCAGCAGGACCCGGCCTCCTCTCCAGAGGAGCAGAGAACGCTCAGCTCCTCCCACAGTGAGGCTCCTCTGCTCAGACTGATGTTTATCTGTTCATTCTGACCTGAGAAGATCTTTACTCATATTTTAATAAATTAAAACGACAGCGTTTGATATAAACTACTTTATCAGCCATGATCTTATATTATAGCCACTTATTAAGTTCTAATTAATTTCTGTCAGGTGTTTGGATTCATGTTTTTAATATTGAAGATTTTAGAATATGGAATGATTATTTGTGCTTTTTTCTGTTTCCTTAGTGAGGGTTTAATTTTTCATCTAACATATTTAGTTTTCTCCTTTCTCTGTTTCCTTGCTAATCTATCTGTATCATATCTTTATCATACATACAGTCTGTGAATGATTTTCTGGATGTTTCTGCTGGTGAAACAGCAGACTGTGAAAGCTGCTCTGAGGATCCAGACCATCCTGACCTAATGGACCCCAGCAGCTGTAAAGGTGAGGCCAGAATCAGTCAGATACGTCACTCAGGTAAAGATCAGTTTCAGACCAAACCAAACTTTAACAGGATTCCCTCTAAACCACCAAGAAGAGGAGAGCAGCAGCATGGAGGACATCCACGGTCTGCATCAGGCGCCTGCAGCATCACAGGACCAGTTTCCTGAAAACAACCAGACTTTGTGGGGCCATAATCCCGCTGATCACGTCAGACAGACAGCACGCGCCCTGCTGGCAGCGCTCCTCTGCTCCTCCTCCCTCCCTCTGCTCCTCCTCGGTGAGGAGCTCCTGCTGCAGACTGTCAGTCAGACACCTCCCTAAAGTCCTCGTCCCTGCAGGTCTTACCTGAGAGGAGCCCGTCCTGAACCAGAACCCGGTGTGGCAGCAGCTAAACTTGCTGAGTCTGTGCGCGTGGCTGCGGTCCCTCTCCCCCGCCCCACGCCGCGCCGCGCTGCGCTGGTTTCTGAATGAGATGAGTTTCTGACGGGAGGAAATGTGACAAAGAGCGCTTCCTCCAAACTGGGTCAGACGTCGCAGCTCTGCCAGTTCCGACATGTGATGCCAGAGAACCACTCCGAGCGCAGAGGGACAACAGCGCCCCCTGCTTTCAATCAGACCTTATTCTTGAACTGAAAATATCATCCAAATCTAACGGTCTATGGTTTCATTTATAGGAAATAGAATATATTGTGGTGGAAATATGACTGCTTCCCTTCATGTAATGTAAGCTTTTATGGTGAAGGTAGAATGTACAGCGTTGGGCACGTTACTTTGAAAAAGTAATTAGTTATAGTTACTAGTTACTTCTCCCAAAAAGTAACTGAGTTACTAACTGAGTTACTCCACAATAAAAGTAACTAGTTACTAGTAAAAGTAACTACTGCGTTACTTTTCCGTTTCTCGCCCCCGTAGCCCTCCCCCCCGGCCCCCACCTTCTCGCCGTGTGTTTCCAAAGCCAGCTGAATAGAGCGGACGACAAAGACAAGAACCTGCAGAGAGTTTAGCATTTAGTGCAACTCAACGTAAATGACATCAGGGGGGAACGCTATCTGACGGGCCTATAAACCCCGTCAGATGGCGTTCCCCTGCTTTACATGGGGGGAACGCTATCTGACGGGGTGTAAATATCATCAGGCTGCATTACCTCTATGGGGGGGAGGTTTTTAACAGGGCGTTCAGATCTGGTGAGTTTATGAAATTAATAACTGGCGATGTCTGATTCTGAAATCCTGTGAGTTTGGGTTGTTATAGATACTGCAACATCCATCCATCATCCATCCATCCATCCATCCATCATCCATCCATCCATCATCCATCATCCATCCATCCATCCATCCATCATCCATCCATCCATCATCCATCCATCCATCATCCATCATCCATCCATCCATCCATCCATCATCCATCCATCCATCCATCCATCCATCCATCATCCATCCATCCATCCATCATCCATCATCCATCCATCCATCCATCATCCATCCATCCATCCATCCATCATCCATCCATCATCCATCCATCCATCCATCATCCATCCATCCATCCATCATCCATCCATCATCCATCCATCATCCATCCATCCATCCATCCATCCATCATCCATCCATCATCCATCCATCGAGCACAGGGCGACTGTTGCGCTCCTTTAGCGAGCATGCGCATTTCCTATCACTTGCACGGTCAATCATGCCGCCTGCGCTGTGTGGAGATGCAGGGCAAAGCGTATCTGATGGGGAAACGCAGCTCGACGTAACACCGTTATTTCCATGTGGAAAAAGGTTTTTTGCTGCGGGAGTCCTCCTCACTCTCCATCTCTCTGTGTGTGCTGTACGTTAACACCCACCAGCGGAAACACCCACCTACCCAACTTACAGACGGAATGTCACTATACATCAATCATTCTCATCCTCCTCTCTCTCATGACAAGGCGCTCACGAGTCCTAGCATGAAAAAAAGGTTCATTGTGCGACCTGAGTATAACGCGCAGTAACGGGGTGTCGGCAATGGTAATGGCATCATAGTTACAGTAAGAGTAATAATTTAGATTACTTGTTACTAAAAAAAAAGGTAACGGCGTTAGTAACGTTACTCCCATCACTGAGAATGTAAGCCTTTATTCTGAAGGTAAAATGTAAGCTTTTATTGTGAAGGTAAAATGCAAGCTTTTATTGTGAAGGTAGAATGTAAGCTTTTATTGTGAAGGTAAAATGTAAGCTTTTATTGTGAAGGCAGAATGTAAGCTTTTATTGTGAAGGTAGAATGTAAGCTTTTATTGTGAAGGCAGAATGTAAGCTTTTATTGTGAAGGCAGAATGTAAGCTTTTATTCTGAAGGTAGAATGTAAGCTTTTATTCTGAAGGCAGAATGTAAGCTTTTATCGTGAAGGCAGAATGTAAGCTTTTATTGTGAAGGTAGAATGTAAGCTTTTATTGTGAAGGCAGAATGTAAGCTTTTATTGTGAAGGTAGAATGTAAGCTTTTATCGTGAAGGCAGAATATAAGCTTTTATCGTGAAGGCAGAATATAAGCTTTTATTGTGAAGGTAAAATGTAAGCTTTTATTGTGAAGGCAGAATGTAAGCTTTTATTGTGAAGGTAGAATGTAAGCTTTTATTCTGAAGGTAGAATGTAAGCTTTTATTCTGAAGGTAGAATGTAAGCTTTTATTCTGAAGGTAGAATGTAAGCTTTTATTGTTAAAGCAGAGTGTAAGCTTTTATTGTGAAGACAGAATGTAAGCTTTTATTGTGAAGGCAGAATGTAAGCTTTTATTGTGAAGGCAGAATGTAAGCTTTTATTCTGAAAGGCAGAATGTAAGTTTTTATTCTGAAGTTGTGAGGAGGGAGGAGAAAATACCCATCTGTTGTGTTTCACCCAATACTGGACAGCTGGAAACCACTGTCCCATTGGGAAGAGACCCCTGTCCCATTGGGAGGAGACCCCTGTCCCATTGGGAGGAGAACACTGTCCCATTGGGAGGAGACCCCTGTCCCATTGGGAGGAGAACACTGTCCCATTGGGAGGAGAACACTGTCCCATTGGGAGGAGACCCCTGTCCCATTGGGAGGAGAACACTGTCCCATTGGGATGAGACCCCTGTCCCATTGGGAGGAGAACACTGTCCCATTGGGAGGAGAACACTGTCCCATTGGGAGGAGACCCCTGTCCCACTGGGAGGAGACCCCTGTCCCACTGGGACCCTCCTAGGTTCAAGCATGAGGATGATAACGGGGGTCATCTGGCCTGTATGTGCTAGAGTCTCCAGGCAGAGGGATGTCTGTACAGAACCTGTGACCTACTTGGATGTATGGATGAATGGAAAAAGACTCAGAAGAGAAACTAATAAATTAATTAAATTTTAGAACTATATACAACCGCCACACTGTTATAAGACTTCCAGAATCATGGGGAGCACTGCTGACCTGACAGCTGTCACTAAAACTCTTCCTTTAGGGCCATTATTGACGAGGCTCATCGTTAGAAAGACGTGTCATACTAATGGAAACTTGGATGGAGGTGTGACAGAAAAAATGCACAAGTGATAACTGCAGCCTGACGACCGAGGGAGTATGTTTGGTAACACCGTTGGGAGGTTGAACTCCTCATCTATTCATAAATCTATTGAATACCAAGAAAGTAAATTAATAATCCACTGGACTTTGTTTCCTAGTTTAAAAACGTTTCTCTTCCATCCAGGAAGCTTTTTCAATTCAAGATGTCCTGGGTTGTTTGGGTTCTTTGTTAGCCTGCAATGCCCCATACCTGTCTATGTCTCTGAAAGGGGGGTCGTTAAAGGGAATTGTTGGCCTGGGTGAACAGGCGAGGTCTTCTGTTCTCTTGTAAAGGGGTTAGGGTTGGCTGTCTCCTTGAACCCCAGTGGGCCTCAGCAGATGGCCGCTCACACTGAGCCTGGTTCTGCTGGAGGTTTCTTCCTGTTCAAAGGGAGTTTTTCCTCTCCACTGTCGCTACAAGCATGCTTAGTGTGAGGGATTGCTGAAGAGTCAATGAGTCGATGCAATCAGCTGGTTTTCCTTAGACAGAAAACTTTGAATCAATCTGACTGGATGATCTGGTGAACTGGAAAGTGACCTGAGATGACATGATGTGAAAATGTGTGTAAATTTAGTTCAGATAGGTTTGATGATCTATTCTTTGACTAAACCATTTTTTAGACGGTTTTGGAAATAGCTCTGTGAACAGCCCTCTAGGTCAGCCGGGTTTACTAAAGTCATCAACATTTTCACACCTGGCGAAAGATCATCTGCAGGACCTGCTGGGCCACTTTTAACACATTGATCTAAAGGATATAGTTTAAGGATGGAGGGGTTTGCAGGAAAACAGTTGCTATAGAAGAAAAGCTTCCTTAAAAAAATCCATCAAACAGATGAGGACCAAAACCTGACTGAATAAGTCCAACAAAAATGCTACTTTTATTAGATTCAATAGTTTTTATTAAAAAAAAAGATCTGTAGAAGCAGCAGGAAAAAAACATGATCTAAACTCATTAGAAAAAACCGATATCACAGGGTAGACTGTTTATCCTCAGATTAACTGAAATAAAACATTTCTGTTTTAGTTCTATTATCATTAAAACCTGTAAAAGAAAAGCACAGTTATAAACAGTAGAAAGCGGTGTAATGTTATAGCATAAAACATTAAAATAATTATAAATCTGTCACTTCAGAAAGTTGAGTAAACATACAGAACATGTAGTTAATCTGTCCCAGCATTGAACTAACGGAGGCTGAATGAAGCCAACCGGCCGCGGTGCATTCTGGAACCTGGAGTTCACTGAGCCTGTAAACGTCCCTGCCGTCGCCAGTGGAGAACTACATATCCCAGTGAGCACTGCGCGAAGGAGCGTGACGTGCGCATGGAAGTCCACTATGGCAGTGTTGTTTAGCAGTGTTTGAGGGGCAGCTGGGCTCTGAAACCATCTCCGACCGACGGGATCCTCCGGCCGCCGCTAAAGATGAGCTCCAGGATCAAGTAAGGAGGTTTTCCCGCCGCCGTTAGCGGGCTGCTGCCGTTAGCTTTGCTCCGGCTGTCACTGAGCGGCAGAAGGCCCAGACTTGTTGCGACAGTGGCTGAAGTCCTGGTTCCTCTGCCCGCTGACCACAGAGCAATACCCCGGCTGTTAAAGCGGGTAGACCCTGATATGATCCAGAAGCTGCTGCTGGGATTTAACCTGCAGGAACACTGACAGCGAGCTGCACCTCATTCCTAGGATACAGTTGTTATGGTAACTGGATCAGATGCTGCTCCTGAACAGGATGCTAGTTTCTAGAATTGAAATAAAACAAACATGTTCCTGGTAGAAATGTGAAGGTTTAAAGTTGTTAATGATGCTTCTGTAGAACAGGTGGGGAGCTGATGCACCTGTAGTTCCTGATGGCTTACAGTTATTTAATGCTGTCCAACAATAGCAACAACTTATAAAATAAACTGTTTATGATTAAAGATGGACCTTTAATGCTCTAAATCATCAGCAACATTAATGAAAACATTCCATATATATAAAAATTGATTAGTAATGGCCGATAGAGATGACAGCAGCGATATATTGGGCATTCCTAGTATGTCCACAAAGTCTACGGTCATGGACAAAAGTACTGAGAATCACACAAATATTAAAATTTCACCTGATCTGCTGCCCTCTGCTTTTCATGTCAGATGTTGTCGTCACATTCAGAAATACAATTTCACTCATATTCTGAGTAACCAAAGCTTTTAATGACAGAATGAGTTAAAGCAGGAAGTCAATATTTGCAGTGTTGACTCCTCTTCTTCAGGACATTTCTCCCTGGCTGCTCTCCATCAGCTTCTGGACCAAATCTTGACTGATGGCGTCCATTCTGCTCCATCAATGCTCGAATTTGGTCAGGATTCTGTTGATGATTGACCAATGGATTAAGATGAGGGGAGTTTCCAGGCCATGGACCCAACATCTCTCTGTTTTGTTCCCTGAGCCAGTTAGATATCAGCTTTGCTTTATGGCGAGGTGCTCCATCATGCTGGAAAAGGCATCGTTCAACACCAAACTGCTCTGGGACGGTTGGGAGAAGTTGCTCTGGGACGGTTGGGAGAAGTTGCTCTGGGACGGTTGGGAGAAGTTGCTCTGGGAGGACATTCTGGTTCCGTTCTTTATTCATGGCTGTTTTTAGGTCAGACTGTGAGAGAGCCGCCTCCCTTGGCTGAGAAGCAATACCACCATGAATGGTTCCAGGATGCTTTACAGTCGGCATGAGACCAGACTGCTGGTAGCGCTCACCTGGTCTTCTCCCAACCAGCTGTTTTCCAGATGTCCCAAACAATGGAAAAGGGGATTGCTGAGAGGAAATGACTTTCCCCCAGTCCTCAGCAGTCCCCTCCCTGGACCTTTAGCAGAATATCAGTCTGTCCCTGATGGTTTTCCTGGAGAGAAGTGGCTTCTTTGCTGCCCTCCTTGAGACCAGGCCTTGCTCCAAGAGTCTCCGCCTCACAGTGCAGATGCACTCACACCTGCCTGCTGCCATTCCTGAGCAAGCTCTGCACCGCTGGTAGCCCGATCCCGCAGCTGAAACACTTTTCAGAGACGGTCCTGGCGCTCGCTGGTCTTTCTTGGCGTCCTGGAGCCTTTTTGGCAGCAATGGAACCTCTCTCCTTGAAGTTCTTGATGACGCCATAGATTGCTGACTGAGGTGCAATCTCTCTAGCTGCCATTCTCTTTCCTGTTCGGCCATCTTTGTGCAGTGCAATGATGACTGCAGGTGTTTCTTTAGAGATAACCATGGTTCACAGCAGAGAACCAATGATGCCGAGCAGCAGCCTCTTTTTAAAGTGTCCAGTGGCGTCATTCTGACTGAATCCTGACAGATTGATCTGCAGCCCTGTCCTCATCACCACCCACACCTGTGTTCATGGACCAATCACTGGAACCATGGTAGCTGCTCCTTTAAGGCAGGGCTGCAATCACCATGAAATGTGTTTTGGTGATAAAGTTCATTTTCTAGGCAAATATTGACTTTGCAATTAATTGCTGTTACGCTGATCAATCTTTAGAACATTCTGGAGTTTATGCAGATTGCTGTTATAAAAACTGAAGCAGTAGACTTTGTAAATATTAACATTTGAATCATTCTCAAAACTTTTGGCCATGACTGTACTGGAGAAAGATTAGTCATCCTTTCACCATTCTATTCAGTTTATTTCTATAGCTCCAATTCACATCATGTCATCTCAGGTCACTTTCCAGTTCACCAGATCATCCAGTCAGATTGATTCAAAGTTTTCTATCTAAGGAAAACCAGCTGATTGCATCGACTCATTGACTCTTCAGCAATCCCTCACACTAAGCATGCTTGTAGCGACAGTGGAGAGGAAAAACTCCCTTTGAACAGGAAGAAACCTCCAGCAGAACCAGGCTCAGTGTGAGCGGCCATCTGCTGAGGCCCACTGGGGTTCAAGGAGACAGAAGCAGACATAGAAAAAGAAGCAAGGCAAATTTATTTGTTTAGCACAATTCAATTCAAAGTGTTTTACATGATTAAAATACAGGAAGATAAAACAGAATCAAAGCAAGTAGGACAAAAATAAAATAAAATAAAAAATGAAGAAAACAAAAAAGAATATTAAAAACAGTTGGACTAAAGAAAATATGTTTCAGTTGAACTGTTTAACTAGAACAGTGGAAGGCAATCCTAAACAAATGTGTTTTTAGTCTTGATTTAAAGGAACTCAGGCTTTTCGCACTTTTAGAGTTTTCTGGAAGTTTGTTCCAGATAAGTGGAGCAGAGGAACTAAATGCTGCTTCTCCATGTTTAGTTCTGGTTCTAGGTCTGCAGAGCAGGCTGGAGCCAGAAGACCTGAGTGGTCTGGAGGGTTGATACACTGATAGCAAGTCTGTGATGTATTTAGGTGCTAAGCCATGCAGAGACTGGCAGCTATGAGGCATTGAGACATGGTCTCTGTCTGTCCTGACTCATGAAGGAGGAGCTCACATTGTCCTGCTGCTCCTGCAGCTCCCTGACCTCCCTGCTCTGTCCCTGCTTCGCTGTGTCTTCTCTGAGCTCTCTCTTCATTTCACCAGAACTCAATCAATGGATCTGGTCAGCTGGTCTCTCAATGCAACTGATCATATTTTCTCAACTGGAAGTCAGGGAAGGGGGATCCGTCCTGTCCTGCCGGGACGTACTTCATGGGATATACCATGGAAATATGCCATGAAGCCGCTGCAGACGGTCTAACGTGGCTGAACTGGAACAGTAGAGGTGCTCTGGCCTTTTCCTGGGCTTCAGCGTCGACATTTTGATCTGATTTCATCTTAGACTGAAATTATCTTTGGTCTCATTTCTAGGATCTTGCTAAAAGTTTATTCCCAGCACTGGTCTGAGTGTCCTTTGTTTCTGGAAAGTTGCCTGATGATTAACTGGTTTTATTCTGTCACTGAGTCGCCTCTCTGTGTTGCAGTCCCCTGTGTGGAGTCTCTGGGGTTGGAGGCGGACTTGTGGCCCGGCGACCGTGTCAGAACGCACTGACTGATGGAGCCTGTAGAGGAAAGCTCATTTGACGGGCGCATAGGAAAGAAAAAGAGACATTAGACTTTTACATTTATACAGCGCATCTGGAAGATTTGGTCCTAATGCAATCACTTCATTCTGCATCAGTGATTGTTTGGAGGAGAAGTAAAATGAGTGTTTTGTAGCAGCGCCTGTTTAAACCTGAGAGGATGAGTTAAAGAGATTAGGGTGATTGCACGGAGCTCATCACCGGAGATCAACCTGCCTGTAAAAACATGCAGAAATCTTCTCCAACATAATAAGAAACCTCTGAAGGCTTCATTCTGTTTATCAGCAAGCTGCAGGTATTTGTTAGATAAAATCCAGCTAAACGATCTGGCACCATTTCATCTGTAACACCCAGGAGGACAGGCTTCTGCTTACGTCTGTTTAAATAGTAAAAAGTTACTTTTTATTTGACCAAAAATCTTCATTCCATTACCAACAATTACGGTAGATGAAAGTAATTTTTATGCGATGGTTGATCTGGATTCCATTAAGCTTTTCTAGTTCATAGGAAAAAAAATAAAATCCTAATTTAAGGCTAAGGGCACCACCCTCATTTGGACTGTAGACGTCCTCGTTCCAGCAGGGGCGCTGTTCGTCTGGTTCCTAGGAACCGCACGCTCTGCTGGCCCCATGGTGGCCCAGCAGAGACCCGCCTTCCTACGGCAACTCAAGAAGGACAACCTTCCACAGGCCCATCACCGCCTGGCCTTTCCTTTAAAGGAGAAGTCCGGTCAGCAAGGAATGATGGATGGATCATTAATATACCTGTTAAAGATGGGCTCTGTGTTTACACCTTGATGCTCTTTCTCTCTGATTCTTTTCCCTGAAAAGAGATCACTCAGAACAGACACTTTAAATAACACTTCATAACTTTTATGTATTAAATAACCAGGAGACATGATAACAGATTCTGATAGAAATTATAATCTTACTCGGATCAGAGAAGTTGCTTAAAGTTACAGAAGGCAGCTGCTCACCTCCAGGTTCACCTCGCAGGAAGTGACCCTGATTAATAGTTCAAAGGCATTTTATTCATCATGACACATCATGACATCATCACACGTTAACAGATGAGAATATATCATGGCTGCAGCCGTATCAAAATATTACACTTTGTACTTAGCCTGAGGATGCCGCTCTCATTCCATATTTATACGAACAGAATGAAGATTATAACTGAATATATATATATATACACATACAGAGGAACTTTCTTAATTAGATTAAATCATCAGTTCTGACACGAAACAGGCAGCTACTATTAAGGTGTAATAAACTCGCAGATCTTCAATGATAATTATCCTAACATGCCTAAAACGAAAATTTTTGCGGTGATTTAATTAATTTAGCGTTAATCAGTAAAAAAATAAATAAATAAAAATAATTTTCGTGGCGATCTCTGAGCCTGGGAGCGGCCATTTTTGCCCAAGTATAGTAGCCCCTCCCTCCTGCCATCTTCCAGCAGTGACGTCACGGTGCGGTAAGCCTAGCGCCATTCTCCCCGCTTTCCAAGCTAAATCAATGGGAACTACTAGACACATCTGCAATCAACAACAATTATTGAAGATTTCCAGAGGACTTCACCATTGAAATTCACCAGAGCTATAGTGAAACTGACAATGCCCACGTGCATGGCAGCTGGATGCTGGAATACATCGGGTAAAAGTGGAAAAAAGAGTTATTCCACCTTTCTGATTCCTGATCCTCCACGGACGGGTTGGTCGTTGGATCGCCAACTTGAAGAGGGAGGATTTGCCATCGAACTTCTGGCCAGAGAAAAAACCCGTAATATGTAGCCAACATTTGGAAGAAGAATGTTTTCAAGATGACTTGGATAATAGCGCGTTGTGACAAACACCAGATACAGCACTGGGACTTGATCAACAGCCGATACCGCACCGTGACAATGTCACTAACCAGTAGGTGGCAGTAGTGTTCTTTGACAAACATGGATGCCTCCAGTAAAGGACATTGACATGAAAATTACTCTGAATTAAAAACACTGATCATTTATTGAACAGGATGGAATCATTTCAGATTTAAAGAACTTTCAGAAGTTTGGATTCTGAATATGAGCGACTTTTCCTTTAAGCGATGAAGCTGGGACTGCGGTGCACACGCCGCTGGTTCTGGGACCTTCTTACTGTGAAATATACAGGATTTTAATTGGAGTATAGAGAAAAGATGGATGAATGGAAAATATTGCGTTTTGAGGGGTTTTGCTTTTACAGGGATTTGTATTTAGATTTTGTTTTGAAAACTCTGGATTTCAATTCAGAAGAAAAAAAAAGATTGATCCTGAAGAGAAATGAGGCTGTTGGCTGTAGCAGCCTGTCTTGCATCTGATCTGGAGAATGCCCTGTAGTCCATCAGCCAGCCTGGATCAGCCAGCTGAGCCTTCAGTCTGTCTGTCAGGTAGTCTTTGATCCAGGTGGTTGTTGATGCCTCCACCTGACTCTGCTGGAGATTCTCTCTAAGTCAGTCAGGCTGAATCTGGAGAAATCAAAGACCACGATCCTCACAGTGCTGCCTGTCTTGGCTAAATGACAGCGGGTTTGTTGAAGCAGGTGGATGATGACATCATCAACTCCATCTCCATGGCGATAAGCAAACTGCAGGGGGTCCTGATAGCTGCTGGTCTGCTTGCTGAGGTGAACCAGCAGAAGTCTCTCTAGGACCTTCATGATGTGGTTGTCAGGGCAACAGGTCGGACGGCTGGCTGAGGTGAGATGTGGATGTCTGGGGGACAGTGATTGGCCTCCATGTTCTGAATGCTGGCGTACCATAAATAATGAATGATGAACAGTTTAGTTTGTGCCTTCAACTCGTTGCCCATAGGAAGACGTTACTGGATATAACCTAACGCAATATCTCCAGAACGGCTCCAAATGACACTAAACTCATCTGGGAGAGTAGAACATGATGGAATAACGGAAAATCAAGGGACCAATGGAAAAAACACGAAAAACAGAGTTTCCTTTTAAAATGTAGAAACCTGCCGGCAGAATATGTTGGCTTTGTTTGTAGCACAGACCTGAAAAACGCTAACATCTACTTCCAGCCGCCACCAACAGGAGGGGAAAACCCTGGAGAGGCGAGCGGGCCTGAGGCAGCTGCTGCTGGGGATTCCCAGTGACAGCGCAGCGCCGGTATGTGGGGGTCTGAGCGGCTCCCACAGAGAAATAATCTTTGAAGGCAGGATGGTAATCTGGATGAACTGACTGCACAGACCATGTTTTCAGGAGGACTTTCTCACTTCAACATAGATTCTAACTACTTTCTACCCGCTGATCACAGCTAATATAGCCGCCATTGTTCCAGGCAGAGAAAGGATAGGGTAGCTCCGCCCACCACGCATCAGACCCACTTTACCAAGCAAAGATGCTTCAGCTGCGTGTTTCTGCTGCTCCTGCTGCTCCTGCTGCTCCTGCTGCGTGCGCTCTGAACGTAGCATTAGAGAGGAATCCTTTACATTTGCATAAAACAAGCCCAAAGTTTAGTTTCCTTCCGTTTGACGCTGGGAGTGATGCAGAGTGTGAGGAGTGATTAAAATCACCAGTTATTTTTTTACACCCTAACAATGTTGTTAGGAAAAACCACATTGTGCTGTTGCTATAGAGACCGACGAGTCCTCCATATTTGCATCAAGTCAAAAGTGTAGTTTTCTTTAGCGAAGGTGCTGACCGAACACTTTGGAAATGATGCAGAGAGTGAAACGTGTTTAAAGTCACCAGCTATTGCAACAAAAACATTCAGCAGTTTTTTTTGTCGCCTAGCAACAAACAGCTGCTAAAATCAGACGGGTAAACTCTCTAGTTATATAATGTGAATGGAAACCATCTGCCAGCAGATACCAGCAGTATCTGGGCTGCAGTGACAGATCTCCACTGTTACATGTCCTGGATAATGTCATCTGTTAACACCGCTAACCCACCTGGTTCCCAGACCAAACTGTGACACCATTGGTGAGGAGGCTCTCCATGGTGCTGCGGTGGACGTTGGTGACCATCTCTGAGGACAGATGGTTCTTCCTCATGAAGAAGATCCACTGGTGCACCTTCATGAAGCAGCTGGTGGTCCAGGTCAAATCTTCAACTCCCAGGACCTTAAAGCTGTCCACACGCTCCACCACCGTCCCCTGGATGTGGATGGGTGCCTACTTCTACTCTGGATGCTGGCTGCAACTCTCTCTGAGTGGCAGCAAACCCACTTTAAGAGTCTTAGCACCTCCATAAGGGCAGGAATGGGATAGTCTGCGCCTTGCTTTGGTTCAGTGTTATATGACTTAGATAAACTTTATGTGGTTTTGTAGACACAGAGGGTGTACTAAACCACATGTCGATACATACAGCCTTATCACAGTGAATGAGCAGCAGCTTAGCAGTGAAATTAACATTTTCATTTATAAAGTGCAGCAAAAAGTAAACAGTGCAGGAGAGACACGGTGCAAAAGGCATTGATGTGGAAGGTTCAAACGAGTTTCTCAGCAGTTGATCAGTGTGATGGCGGTGGGGAAGAAGCTGCTGCAGAACCTGCTGGTCCTGCATTGAATGCTGGGAAGCCTCTTCCCAGAGGGCAGCATGGTGGGGGGGTCATTGATGATGTCACGGGGTCGGGAGATGAAATGTCTTCAATGGAGGGAAGAGGAGCCCCCATGATCCTCTCTGCTGTTCTCACCTTCTTCCAGTCTGAGGCGCTGCAGCCTCCACACCACACAGTGAGACAGCTGCTCAGAACGCTCTCTATGGTGCTTCTGGAGAAGGAGGGGAGGATGGGGGGGGCAGGAAGTCCAAGCGCTTCTGGGCCCTTTGGACCAGTGAGGTGGTGTTTCCAGTCCAGGTGAGGGTGTCTGTGATGAATGTGGTGCTGCTGACCACCTCTACAGCTGAGCTGTTGATGAGCAGTGGAGCAAACTAAGTGCCTCTGATTCTAACACTGTGTTTTGTTAAAGTGTAATTAAATGTCAGATCTAATGAATTGTCCAGGCCCGGCTGGAATTGGAGCACAGATTCGGTCCTTTAGGCTCAATCCCTGAACGTCATTAAGGGAATGTCTGATTTTTTTCATCTTTTATCTCCACTTTGCTCCTTGAAGATTTAGATAATTTATCCTCTTCTGTTCCAGGGAGAGTCCTGAGTCGACCTTTGACGTTTATCTGGAGGTAGCTAACCCAGGGAAGCATAGCTCTGGTAAGTTCATTGACTCTAAGGTCTGGTTTGTGGCTGTCTTAGGTCAGCGTTCATTTAGACATCAGAATCTGCCTTCATGTGAACAACGTTTCACTTTTAGACACATTTAGATGGCAGAAAGATGTCTGATTATTCAAGCTCCTGTCACACCTTGACCATTTAGACCAGCCGACGGTCTAAATGGTCAAGGCGTACGGAAAATCTGTCCAAAACGCTGGCAAACATTGGATAAGTTATGAGCATGCAGGAACACACTGGCAGAAAACATCCCGCCGTACGCCAGCGTCTGCCATCCGTGGGTCGTCAGTTATCAGATGGCTGACATCCGTTCAGTGTCAGTTCCTCATCAGTCGTGGCGTCTAGCTGATCCTAAACCTCTGAGTAACTTCTGCGTAACTTCTCCAGAACTTCTCTCCAACATATCAGCGTATCTGCCGTGTTCCAGACGAGCGCTGAACCTGTTTCTACCTTCCAGCTACTGTATAATGGCGTATTGGCAGCGTTTTGGTATAGCGGGGGTTCACAGGAGGAAACCGTCAGTTCTCCTCCAGACTTCATCCCCATCATAGGGTGAGCCAGAAGGTGAGTGATGGATCCTCCCTGCGTTCATGCCCACCACCAACACACTTCCTAGCAGACATGACGCTCAATCTGCTGACACCAGAAACCTTCTTTCTTTATTCTATTGTCGGGTGGTAACCAGCAGCTAGGTTAATACCGCGATCAAAGACATCTCTATCTGCAGGCCGGTGCGCCTCCGGGTGCATCGCTGCCCCCCTCAGGACTCATAATTTCCTGGGCATTACGCTGCCGTGCGTCATGCAGAAGTTAGGCTGTCGTTGGGCAGAAGTTCTGGACTTGCTATGAATCCTCTATGTTTACGCCCAGAATAGAAAGAATCCATAGAAAGTTCAAGGTCTGCCAGAGTTTAGGAGATTCTGGGACGTCAGGCAGACGCTGGAGAAATCAGCAGGATGTGACAGGGGCCTTGGGGGTGGATGATCCAGGAAATAAAAACCTGCTTAGTTCACTCATCCTGCTCACTGAGCCGTGCAGCTGAATATTCATTATTTCAAACTAATCTCTGTACAAACTTTTTACTTTTCTGGACCTGATTTTCTCTGGTTGGACTGTGAGTTGGGAGCTTGAAGGAAACATCTAATCATACAGTGATCATTCCAATCATACAAACTGCCACAGTATTGGTTTTGTTTTGTCCAACAGGAATAAAGCAGCTAAAGCAGCATTCATTATTTAAACCATTGCTGATCCTGGGGTTAGATAAAAGTTTAATTCTGCAGTCCTCATCAGGCTGCTGTAGCCTGGAGGAGACCCTGGATGGTAGCTGCTGCCTAAAGAATGAGGGAAAACGCCATGGAGCGTTTCATAGCGATAGCTGGTCTCTGAGAAGCAGCCTTTAGCTGCTGCATGGCTGATTTCCGGCCCTGAGCAGAGCTGGTCGCCTGTTTCTGAGAATTCCTTCCTGTTGAGCTCATTCTGCTTTCATCATTTCCTGTTGACTCTTAGATCCCCGCTCCCTTCTTGTTCATGCTGGTTATCAAAGCTGAAACTACCAAACTGCTAAATGCTTATTGATAATAATTCTGCCGTTGTTGCCGCCTGGTTGTTTCTGTCTAACTGTTGGTCTGTTTCTGTCCCCCTGAAACAGGACCGGAGGTGCAGCGGCAGTTCCCTGAAGACTACTCTGATCAGGTTCAAACACAATGAAAGGTTTCAGTCTGTAGAAATGTTCTGGTCTTTGCTCTGTGGGATGATTGGTGCTCTGTGTCTCACAGGAAACTCTCCTCACTGTGCCAAAGTTCTGCTTCCCCTTCAGCATGGACAGGTACGCCCAGCAGCAGCTGCAGCTGCGCCCTAAACACCCGCTATCCACACAGCCTGAAGCAGATCAGCCATGCGTCGTTGTTCTTTAACACTTTGGGAACAGCAAACAGTGACCGACGGAAATGAAATGCATCCCAAAAATTAACACAATATGGTTAAGAAAAATACGAATAAAAGATTAAAACAAGGGGGAGTCCAGATTAATCACAATCTGCAGCAATTTAAAAATGGCTGTAAGTTGATGTTTACATATGAATGCATAAAAATGACTGGGCAGCTTTATTTTTATTTTTCAAAGTGAAAATAAAAACCTAAAAATCTGATTATTTTAACAGGCAATCAGTAACATTTTGCAGGTATGCAGTGACTTTTACTAAAGTACAGCCCTGCTGACAGGCTGATTGATGAAAATAACATGTTCTACAAAACATGTTTTATTGTTTTATTTCTATTTGTTTTTTCTTTTAGCCTGAAAAACCTGACAGAAACTTTTAGATTTCTAATCTATAACCTAGCTTGTGATTAAAAAAAAAGAAAAAAAAAAAGGTTTTGCAATTTCTTTTAAAAACAAATTCAAGCTTTTGGCCCCTGGGGCCAAAGGTTAGGACTCCACTGACATAGATCTATAGACAGAGACATGGGGAAGATATATTTCTACGTCCAAATTACCAAAATGAGGGAAACATGGACATGGAGCCGGTCCGTGTTCAATGCTGCTGATAATCTGACTAAAGTTTGAATGTTCTAGTAGCTAATGCGTTCATGCTTTCTGTTGCCCTCTGCAGCCTGACAATCAACCATGTCGGACAGAACTTCACATTCGTCTTGACGGACATTGAGAGCAAACAAAGATTTGGTTTCTGTCGGCTCTCCTCAGGAGCTCACACCTGCTACTGCATTCTCAGGTGAGTTTTGCGGAACCCTCTGCAGACGTGGAACCCTCTGCAGACGTGGAACCCTCTGCAGACGTGGAACCCTCTGCAGACGTGGAACGCGCTCCAGGTGCAGATGCGGAACCCTCTGCAGATGCGGAACCCTCTGCAGATGCGGAACCCTCTGCAGACGTGGAACCCTCTGCAGACGTGGAACGCGCTCCAGGTGCAGATGCGGAACCCTCTGCAGATGCGGAACCCTCTGCAGACGCGGAACCCTCTGCAGACGTGGAACGCGCTCCAGGTGCAGATGCGGAACCCTCCGCAGATGCAGAACCCTCTGCAGACGTGGAACGCGCTCCAGGTGCAGATGCGGAACCCTCTGCAGACGTGGAACCCTCTGCAGACGTGGAACGCGCTCCAGGTGCAGATGCGGAACCCTCTGCAGACGTGGAACGCGCTCCAGGTGCAGATGCGGAACCCTCCGCAGATGCAGAACCCTCTGCAGACGTGGAACGCGCACCAGGTGCAGATGCGGAACCCTCTGCAGACGTGGAACCCTCTGCAGACGTGGAACCCTCTGCAGACGTGGAACCCTCTGCAGATGCGGAACCCTCTGCAGACGTGGAACCCTCTGCAGATGCGGAACCCTCTGCAGACGTGGAACCCTCTGCAGATGCGGAACCCTCTGCAGACGTGGAACCCTCTGCAGACGTGGAACCCTCTGCAGATGCGGAACCCTCTGCAGATGCGGAACCCTCTGCAGACGTGGAACCCTCTGCAGACGTGGAACGCGCTCCAGGTGCAGATGCGGAACCCTCTGCAGACGTGGAACCCTCTGCAGACGTGGAACCCTCTGCAGACGTGGAACCCTCTGCAGACGTGGAACACGTACCAGGTGCAGATGCGGAACCCTCTGCAGACGTGGAACCCTCTGCAGATGCGGAACCCTCTGCAGACGTGGAACCCTCTGCAGATGCGGAACCCTCTGCAGACGTGGAACCCTCTGCAGATGCGGAACCCTCTGCAGACGTGGAACGCGCACCAGCTGCAGATGCGGAACCCTCTGCAGACGTGGAACCCTCTGCAGATGCGGAACCCTCTGCAGACGTGGAACGCGCACCAGGTGCAGATGCGGAACCCTCTGCAGACGTGGAACGCGCACCAGGTGCAGATGCGGAACCCTCTGCAGACGTGGAACGCGCTCCAGGTGCAGATGCGGAACCCTCTGCAGACGTGGAACCCTCTGCAGACGTGGAACCCTCTGCAGACGTGGAACGCGCACCAGGTGCAGATGCGGAACCCTCTGCAGACGTGGAACCCTCTGCAGACGTGGAACCCTCTGCAGACGTGGAACCCTCTGCAGACGTGGAACGCGCACCAGGTGCAGATGCGGAACCCTCTGCAGACGTGGAACCCTCTGCAGACGTGGAACCCTCTGCAGACGTGGAACCCTCTGCAGACGTGGAACGCGCTCCAGGTGCAGATGCGGAACCCTCTGCAGATGCGGAACCCTCTGCAGACGTGGAACCCTCTGCAGACGTGGAACGCGCTCCAGTTGCAGATGCGGAACCCTCTGCAGACGTGGAACCCTCTGCAGACGTGGAACCCTCTGCAGACGTGGAACCCTCTGCAGATGCGGAACCCTCTGCAGACGTGGAACCCTCTGCAGATGCGGAACCCTCTGCAGACGTGGAACCCTCTGCAGATGCGGAACCCTCTGCAGACGTGGAACCCTCTGCAGACGTGGAACCCTCTGCAGATGCGGAACCCTCTGCAGATGCGGAACCCTCTGCAGACGTGGAACCCTCTGCAGACGTGGAACGCGCTCCAGGTGCAGATGCGGAACCCTCTGCAGACGTGGAACCCTCTGCAGACGTGGAACCCTCTGCAGACGTGGAACACGTACCAGGTGCAGATGCGGAACCCTCTGCAGACGTGGAACCCTCTGCAGATGCGGAACCCTCTGCAGATGCGGAACCCTCTGCAGACGTGGAACCCTCTGCAGATGCGGAACCCTCTGCAGACGTGGAACGCGCACCAGCTGCAGATGCGGAACCCTCTGCAGACGTGGAACGCGCACCAGGTGCAGATGCGGAACCCTCTGCAGACGTGGAACGCGCACCAGGTGCAGATGCGGAACCCTCTGCAGACGTGGAACGCGCTCCAGGTGCAGATGCGGAACCCTCTGCAGACGTGGAACCCTCTGCAGACGTGGAACCCTCTGCAGACGTGGAACCCTCTGCAGACGTGGAACGCGCACCAGGTGCAGATGCGGAACCCTCTGCAGACGTGGAACCCTCTGCAGACGTGGAACCCTCTGCAGACGTGGAACCCTCTGCAGACGTGGAACCCTATGCAGACGTGGAACCCTCTGCAGATGCGGAACCCTCTGCAGACGTGGAACCCTCTGCAGATGCGGAACCCTCTGCAGACGTGGAACCCTCTGCAGATGCGGAACCCTCTGCAGACGTGGAACCCTCTGCAGACGTGGAACCCTCTGCAGATGCGGAACCCTCTGCAGATGCGGAACCCTCTGCAGACGTGGAACCCTCTGCAGACGTGGAACGCGCTCCAGGTGCAGATGCGGAACCCTCTGCAGACGTGGAACCCTCTGCAGACGTGGAACCCTCTGCAGACGTGGAACCCTCTGCAGACGTGGAACACGTACCAGGTGCAGATGCGGAACCCTCTGCAGACGTGGAACCCTCTGCAGATGCGGAACCCTCTGCAGACGTGGAACCCTCTGCAGATGCGGAACCCTCTGCAGACGTGGAACCCTCTGCAGATGCGGAACCCTCTGCAGACGTGGAACGCGCACCAGCTGCAGATGCGGAACCCTCTGCAGACGTGGAACCCTCTGCAGATGCGGAACCCTCTGCAGACGTGGAACGCGCACCAGGTGCAGATGCGGAACCCTCTGCAGACGTGGAACGCGCACCAGGTGCAGATGCGGAACCCTCTGCAGACGTGGAACGCGCTCCAGGTGCAGATGCGGAACCCTCTGCAGACGTGGAACCCTCTGCAGACGTGGAACCCTCTGCAGACGTGGAACGCGCACCAGGTGCAGATGCGGAACCCTCTGCAGACGTGGAACCCTCTGCAGACGTGGAACCCTCTGCAGACGTGGAACCCTCTGCAGACGTGGAACCCTCTGCAGACGTGGAACGCGCACCAGGTGCAGATGCGGAACCCTCTGCAGACGTGGAACCCTCTGCAGACGTGGAACCCTCTGCAGACGTGGAACCCTCTGCAGACGTGGAACGCGCTCCAGGTGCAGATGCGGAACCCTCTGCAGATGCGGAACCCTCTGCAGACGTGGAACCCTCTGCAGACGTGGAACGCGCTCCAGTTGCAGATGCGGAACCCTCTGCAGACGTGGAACCCTCTGCAGACGTGGAACCCTCTGCAGATGCGGAACCCTCTGCAGACGTGGAACCCTCTGCAGATGCGGAACCCTCTGCAGACGTGGAACCCTCTGCAGATGCGGAACCCTCTGCAGACGTGGAACCCTCTGCAGACGTGGAACCCTCTGCAGATGCGGAACCCTCTGCAGATGCGGAACCCTCTGCAGATGCGGAACCCTCTGCAGACGTGGAACCCTCTGCAGACGTGGAACCCTCTGCAGATGCGGAACCCTCTGCAGACGTGGAACCCTCTGCAGACGTGGAACCCTCTGCAGACGTGGAACGCGCTCCAGGTGCAGATGCGGAACCCTCTGCAGACGTGGAACCCTCTGCAGACGTGGAACCCTCTGCAGACGTGGAACACGTACCAGGTGCAGATGCGGAACCCTCTGCAGACGTGGAACCCTCTGCAGATGCGGAACCCTCTGCAGATGCGGAACCCTCTGCAGACGTGGAACCCTCTGCAGATGCGGAACCCTCTGCAGACGTGGAACGCGCACCAGCTGCAGATGCGGAACCCTCTGCAGACGTGGAACGCGCACCAGGTGCAGATGCGGAACCCTCTGCAGACGTGGAACCCTCTGCAGACGTGGAACCCTCTGCAGACGTGGAACCCTCTGCAGACGTGGAACGCGCTCCAGGTGCAGATGCGGAACCCTCTGCAGATGCGGAACCCTCTGCAGACGTGGAACCCTCTGCAGACGTGGAACCCTCTGCAGACGTGGAACGCGCTCCAGGTGCAGATGCGGAACCCTCTGCAGATGCAGAACCCTCTGCAGACGTGGAACCCTCTGCAGACGTGGAACGCGCTCCAGTTGCAGATGCGGAACCCTCTGCAGACGTGGAACCCTCTGCAGACGTGGAACCCTCTGCAGATGCGGAACCCTCTGCAGACGTGGAACCCTCTGCAGATGCGGAACCCTCTGCAGACGTGGAACCCTCTGCAGATGCGGAACCCTCTGCAGACGTGGAACCCTCTGCAGACGTGGAACCCTCTGCAGATGCGGAACCCTCTGCAGATGCGGAACCCTCTGCAGACGTGGAACCCTCTGCAGACGTGGAACGCGCTCCAGGTGCAGATGCGGAACCCTCTGCAGACGTGGAACCCTCTGCAGACGTGGAACCCTCTGCAGACGTGGAACACGTACCAGGTGCAGATGCGGAACCCTCTGCAGACGTGGAACCCTCTGCAGATGCGGAACCCTCTGCAGATGCGGAACCCTCTGCAGACGTGGAACCCTCTGCAGATGCGGAACCCTCTGCAGACGTGGAACGCGCACCAGCTGCAGATGCGGAACCCTCTGCAGACGTGGAACGCGCACCAGGTGCAGATGCGGAACCCTCTGCAGACGTGGAACGCGCACCAGGTGCAGATGCGGAACCCTCTGCAGACGTGGAACGCGCTCCAGGTGCAGATGCGGAACCCTCTGCAGACGTGGAACCCTCTGCAGACGTGGAACCCTCTGCAGACGTGGAACGCGCACCAGGTGCAGATGCGGAACCCTCTGCAGACGTGGAACCCTCTGCAGACGTGGAACCCTCTGCAGACGTGGAACCCTCTGCAGACGTGGAACCCTATGCAGACGTGGAACCCTCTGCAGATGCGGAACCCTCTGCAGACGTGGAACCCTCTGCAGATGCGGAACCCTCTGCAGACGTGGAACCCTCTGCAGATGCGGAACCCTCTGCAGACGTGGAACCCTCTGCAGACGTGGAACCCTCTGCAGATGCGGAACCCTCTGCAGATGCGGAACCCTCTGCAGACGTGGAACCCTCTGCAGACGTGGAACGCGCTCCAGGTGCAGATGCGGAACCCTCTGCAGACGTGGAACCCTCTGCAGACGTGGAACCCTCTGCAGACGTGGAACCCTCTGCAGACGTGGAACACGTACCAGGTGCAGATGCGGAACCCTCTGCAGACGTGGAACCCTCTGCAGATGCGGAACCCTCTGCAGACGTGGAACCCTCTGCAGATGCGGAACCCTCTGCAGACGTGGAACCCTCTGCAGATGCGGAACCCTCTGCAGACGTGGAACGCGCACCAGCTGCAGATGCGGAACCCTCTGCAGACGTGGAACCCTCTGCAGATGCGGAACCCTCTGCAGACGTGGAACGCGCACCAGGTGCAGATGCGGAACCCTCTGCAGACGTGGAACGCGCACCAGGTGCAGATGCGGAACCCTCTGCAGACGTGGAACGCGCTCCAGGTGCAGATGCGGAACCCTCTGCAGACGTGGAACCCTCTGCAGACGTGGAACCCTCTGCAGACGTGGAACGCGCACCAGGTGCAGATGCGGAACCCTCTGCAGACGTGGAACCCTCTGCAGACGTGGAACCCTCTGCAGACGTGGAACCCTCTGCAGACGTGGAACGCGCACCAGGTGCAGATGCGGAACCCTCTGCAGACGTGGAACCCTCTGCAGACGTGGAACCCTCTGCAGACGTGGAACCCTCTGCAGACGTGGAACGCGCTCCAGGTGCAGATGCGGAACCCTCTGCAGATGCGGAACCCTCTGCAGACGTGGAACCCTCTGCAGACGTGGAACGCGCTCCAGTTGCAGATGCGGAACCCTCTGCAGACGTGGAACCCTCTGCAGACGTGGAACCCTCTGCAGATGCGGAACCCTCTGCAGACGTGGAACCCTCTGCAGATGCGGAACCCTCTGCAGACGTGGAACCCTCTGCAGATGCGGAACCCTCTGCAGACGTGGAACCCTCTGCAGACGTGGAACCCTCTGCAGATGCGGAACCCTCTGCAGATGCGGAACCCTCTGCAGATGCGGAACCCTCTGCAGACGTGGAACCCTCTGCAGATGCGGAACCCTCTGCAGATGCGGAACCCTCTGCAGACGTGGAACCCTCTGCAGACGTGGAACCCTCTGCAGATGCGGAACCCTCTGCAGATGCGGAACCCTCTGCAGACGTGGAACCCTCTGCAGACGTGGAACCCTCTGCAGATGCGGAACCCTCTGCAGACGTGGAACGCGCACCAGCTGCAGATGCGGAACCCTCTGCAGACGTGGAACGCGCTCCAGGTGCAGATGCGGAACCCTCTGCAGACGTGGAACCCTCTGCAGACGTGGAACCCTCTGCAGACGTGGAACACGTACCAGGTGCAGATGCGGAACCCTCTGCAGACGTGGAACCCTCTGCAGATGCGGAACCCTCTGCAGATGCGGAACCCTCTGCAGACGTGGAACCCTCTGCAGATGCGGAACCCTCTGCAGACGTGGAACGCGCACCAGCTGCAGATGCGGAACCCTCTGCAGACGTGGAACGCGCACCAGGTGCAGATGCGGAACCCTCTGCAGACGTGGAACCCTCTGCAGACGTGGAACCCTCTGCAGACGTGGAACGCGCTCCAGGTGCAGATGCGGAACCCTCTGCAGATGCGGAACCCTCTGCAGACGTGGAACCCTCTGCAGACGTGGAACCCTCTGCAGACGTGGAACGCGCTCCAGGTGCAGATGCGGAACCCTCTGCAGATGCAGAACCCTCTGCAGACGTGGAACCCTCTGCAGACGTGGAACGCGCTCCAGTTGCAGATGCGGAACCCTCTGCAGACGTGGAACCCTCTGCAGACGTGGAACCCTCTGCAGATGCGGAACCCTCTGCAGACGTGGAACCCTCTGCAGATGCGGAACCCTCTGCAGACGTGGAACCCTCTGCAGATGCGGAACCCTCTGCAGACGTGGAACCCTCTGCAGACGTGGAACCCTCTGCAGATGCGGAACCCTCTGCAGATGCGGAACCCTCTGCAGACGTGGAACCCTCTGCAGACGTGGAACGCGCTCCAGGTGCAGATGCGGAACCCTCTGCAGACGTGGAACCCTCTGCAGACGTGGAACCCTCTGCAGACGTGGAACACGTACCAGGTGCAGATGCGGAACCCTCTGCAGACGTGGAACCCTCTGCAGATGCGGAACCCTCTGCAGATGCGGAACCCTCTGCAGACGTGGAACCCTCTGCAGATGCGGAACCCTCTGCAGACGTGGAACGCGCACCAGCTGCAGATGCGGAACCCTCTGCAGACGTGGAACGCGCACCAGGTGCAGATGCGGAACCCTCTGCAGACGTGGAACGCGCACCAGGTGCAGATGCGGAACCCTCTGCAGACGTGGAACGCGCTCCAGGTGCAGATGCGGAACCCTCTGCAGACGTGGAACCCTCTGCAGACGTGGAACCCTCTGCAGACGTGGAACGCGCACCAGGTGCAGATGCGGAACCCTCTGCAGACGTGGAACCCTCTGCAGACGTGGAACCCTCTGCAGACGTGGAACCCTCTGCAGACGTGGAACGCGCACCAGGTGCAGATGCGGAACCCTCTGCAGACGTGGAACCCTCTGCAGACGTGGAACGCGCTCCAGGTGCAGATGCGGAACCCTCTGCAGACGTGGAACCCTCTGCAGACGTGGAACGCGCTCCAGGTGCAGATGCGGAACCCTCCGCAGATGCAGAACCCTCTGCAGACGTGGAACGCGCACCAGGTGCAGATGCGGAACCCTCTGCAGACGTGGAACCCTCTGCAGACGTGGAACCCTCTGCAGACGTGGAACCCTCTGCAGACGTGGAACGCGCTCCAGGTGCAGATGCGGAACCCTCTGCAGATGCGGAACCCTCTGCAGACGTGGAACGCGCACCAGGTGCAGACGTGGAACCCTCTGCAGACGTGGAACCCTCTGCAGACATGGAACCCTCTGCAGACGTGGAACCCTCTGCAGACGTGGAACCCTCTGCAGACGTGGAACCCTCTGCAGACGTGGAACCCTCTGCAGATGCGGAACCCTCTGCAGACGTGGAACCCTCTGCAGACGTGGAACCCTCTGCAGACGCAGACGTGGAACCCTCTGCAGACGCATAACCTTCTATAATTATTGCCTTTTCTTTTTTTTGTGTTTCTCAACCCTGAACCTGTGAGAACGTTCAAATAGTTTCAATGTTGTGCGTCTTCTGATATAATGAGGAATCCATAAATGCAGGGGTTCATGGGGAACTCTGATGCTGACTGACTGCTTCTGTGTTTCTGTGTCCTCTCAGCTACCTGCCCTGGTTTGAGGTTTTCTACAAGCTGCTGAACATCCTGGCTGACTGCTCAGTCAAAGGCCAGGTGAGCCGTAACGCCTTCCACTCTCTGCACCTTACATCTGCTTCTTTTTTAATTCTACAAACTAGTAGGAATGCATGCGTGAACATTTGGGACAAATCAGAATCTGTTATTAATATTTCTGTAACGGCCAAGCACCATAAATAATGCTTTTTATTCTGCCAAATATTTATTCCACCTACTGTAGGTTTTTGTTTTTTACACATTCATCTGGACTCAAAGAAAATGAGGAGAGTTTTATTGCTGATTGAAGTAAACTAACGAGCAATAAAAGAAGTCATTGTTATATAACATGTTCTTCTGTTCTTTGTTTTTAGCAAATACTAGGTGGCCATCATTGAATCATGCAGCTACTTAGATTGTTTGTTTGAATTTCTGATCCACCAATATTCTCCTGATGGATCTCTGCATCTGAGGGACGTTTTTAGTTTCTTCATAGCGGACGTGGCTAACTGGTTTTTGTTAGCATTAGCTAATGATTGATCTTTATGCAGATTTTTTGCTCTTGGCACCACATGGGTTTATATTGTTGTAATATTACAGGACAGCCAGTGGCAGGAGCTGCTGGTCTCACTACATACGCTCCCCATCCCCGAGCCTGGAGTCCCCGTCCACCTGGGCGAGGTAAGCCTGACCTCATCCTGACACTCGCATCATGGCTGCTGCTCCTTCAGGGCACCAAAAAGAACCTTTATGTTCCGTTAAGCCCCAGATTCTTCTGGTTTGGTCCTAAAATGATTAGTTAACTTGGCCTTTGGAGCGGCTTAGCCACAGACTGAGAACCAGCGAGGAGGAGAGGAGGTGCACCTTCACCTCCTCTAAATGACACGCTGATCAACCAGGCTGACCTTCCTGGGGCTCATTCATTTAGCCCAATTTATTACTTAGAATTATATAGATAGACTTGATGAGACGTAGATAAAAGCAGATTTTTTTAAATAGTTTTATGGAGCTCACCTCATTTCCAATCAAATAATTTGGTAGGTTTTAATTTCAATCCAGTTTTGAAAGGTGGTATGAATAATTTTGGGCTTCGCTGCCTCACTCAGTAACCATGTGATCAATTTCTTTTTCCCAGCATTCGTTCTTCACTGTGCCTGACATCACGGAGCTCCCTAGCATCCCTGAGAATGTGAGTGTTGCAGTTGCGAGTCGCCCGGAGTCGCTCAGAGTTGCCCCGAGTCGCTCCAAGTGGCCCCAAGCTGCTCAGAGATGCCTTGAATTACTTTGAGTCGCCCAGAGTCGCTCCAAGCTGCCCGAAGTCACCCAGTTAACAGTCTTACAGTCATCATGAGCGGCTCGGAAGGCCGAGTCAGGGAGGGATTCTGGAACTGGAGATGCTGACAGCATCGGATACGAGTCATGGAGGAGCTCCTCCGGTTTCCTCCCACAGTCTACAAACATCCCTCAGACACGAGCGAGTCTCCCTGCATGGAAGAGCGGGTATCTATTGAAGGTGTGTCAGTGATGATGGCGTCTCACTCTAACTAGTCCCCCCCGCTCCGGCGCTGCTCTGCATCCCGTCGGTTCTGTAACTCAGACGGGTCAGCCCGCGGCGCTCCAGGACCAAACGCGCTGTCCTTCCACCTGCAGTGCGGCTCGGGGCTCCTCTTGGCGTTTGATTTCATGTGATATTATTTCCCACCAGCCGTCCTGATAATGAATCTCTCTATGTTTTCCCTCTGCAGAGAAACCTAACAGAGTACTTTGTAGCAGTAGATGTGAATAACATGCTTCACCTGTACGCTAGTATGCTTTATGAACGTCGAATCCTCATCTGCTGTAGCAAGCTGAGCACTGTAAGTAGCACTTCCTGTTTCCTCTCTTCTCCTGCTCGGTCCAGGCTGATAGATGTCAGCTTTTTTCCTTCATTTGGTTTGATTTGCTACAAAGCAAAGCCAGCTTAGTTTTCCTGCTGGATGAAAGGCAGTTTGACCCCCAGCAGCTCTCTGCGGGCTCTGGGTTCCATTAGATGAGTGGAGGCTGAGCTTCCTGCATGTCCAGAAGAGGCCTGAGTTTATTACCTCTGTGGTGCTTCCTGTGAGCTCCACTCTCAGACCGTTTGTCCTGCTGACAGCGGCAGACAGCAGGGAGGGCAGCGTGTTCACAGAGTGGTTGAAAATCTGAGCTGCTAATTAACGAACATGATGGACTTTTACTAATTAGATCAACGTCACTGACGAGCTGCTAATTAGCTGTTCAGGAAGTCACCGATCATACAGGGGGGTTAGAGCCAGTGATTAACCCGTCCTTATTCCTCTGTGGTTAGCTCTGATTCTAGCTGCTGTGTTGAATGAGGGCAGGAAAAGACATCATCACCTGCTCTGCTCTCTGTTGCAGCTGACCGCCTGCGTGCATGGTTCTGCTGCCTTGTTGTACCCGATGCACTGGCAGCATGTTTACATTCCTGTGCTTCCTCAGCATCTGTTGGACTACTGCTGGTGAGTTAGTGACCTCCTGATCAGAGCGCCGGACAGAAAGCTGCGCCCACATATAGACACGGCCGCCATTTTTACTGCTCTCCATTTACACCACTTACATCTGCTTCTGGATCTAAATCAGCAAATTAAGGAAAATATGATTTTATCCTGATTAGTTTAGAGTTCTTTGTAATTCACAGGCCTGTGGTCAGTATGGTCAGCAGATGGTTATATCAGAAACAGGAAAAATAATAGATCACCCGATTACTAAAGAATCAGACGAAGCTATGGATCAATGTGACTGAGCTGCAATCATTTAGTCTGCGCTTCCTTTCAGCCCTAATCTGGATATTTCTAATCATTTCATGCTAAATCAGTGCAATGATGCACTTTAAATGAAAAACATGAGGTTTCCTCCCAGATCCAGGTTAGGTAGGTAAACTGAGCTAAAAGATGAAGAACCAGAGACTGACAGCAGGCGTGGGAACAAATACATCAAAATCTATTTCCAAAAAAAAAAAAAAAACACTTTAAAAATGTATAATGAAATACTACAAATTACTTTATTCTAAGAGCCTTTTTCTTCTATCCCTTCACACACACTATCTGGAAAAACATCAAAGTAACAAAACAATAAAAGAACCTTCAGTTATTCCATTCTATTCAGTGTATTTCTATAGCTCCAATTCACATCATGTCATCTCAGGTCACTTTCCAGTTCACCAGATCATCCAGTCAGATTGATTCAAAGTTTTCTATCTAAGGAAAACCAGCTGATTGCATCGACTCATTGACTCTTCAGCAATCCCTCACACTAAGCATGCTTGTAGCGACAGTGGAGAGGAAAAACTCCCTTTGAACAGGAAGAAACCTCCAGCAGAACCAGGCTCAGTGTGAGCGGCCATCTGCTGAGGCCCACTGGGGTTCAAGGAGACAGAAGCAGAGAATTTCACTGATTAAAATATTACCTAAATTGTGTTGGTAACACCTTACATTACTGCATTACTGTAGCCTAATTAAATTACTTTTTTCCTGCCAACACTGATATTATGTCGGCTGCATACAGTCAACAGTAGAACATAATTTAGGTACATTTCTAAGAAAACAAAATTACAACTTAAATTAAGTAGAGTAAATAAAAGTTAATTAAAAGGGACAACACTATTATGAGCCGAAACTATCCTACTAAAAATAGCGGCGAAGCTCACCTGTGGTATTGCAGCAGCACATATATTACAGGGCTGCCAACCTTTCATCAAACCTTGGAGATGTTTAAATATTTTGGACAGGAAACTGTCAGGGTTCGATAGAACGGCTATGAGAACACCAGCTGCTATAGGTGGGAGGTTTTCAGAGGATTTCACTGAAACTAAAAGACAAAATGTTGATTTTTTATAGCACAATAAATGCAGCTGATTAACAATGAGTGATCTGTAGTTCATTTTTCACACAATATTTATTTTCTATATTCTGGTGATTATTAGAGAACTGAAGTAAAGAAGAATGGGCCCTACTAAAATACTTGCATCTTAATTATACTGTAAACTAAGAATTACTAAGTTGGTTTATTCAGTATTTTAGGCAGTTCAAATAAAATAAACAATGGGGAAAATGATAAGTTACTATATACTATAATTACTGGATTACTGGCACTAAAACCAGTTCAACCGAATCCTGTGCAAACTACACTGTGTGTGAATATTTGGTAATAAGCAAAGTATTCAAAATCTTAACTCATTATCTAATAATTTCTATTTTTCACAGCTGAGAAAACAGCTAAACAACTCAGACCTTCTAGGAGGCCGTAGATTCTATGGCTGCAACTAATTATTATTTAGCAAATAGATTAATCTGTTGATTATTTTTTCAATTAATTGATTAATTATCGGAGAGCCAAAGTTTCCTTAAAGAAGATTCTTTTACCAATTTAAACCAGGCGAGGCTAAAACGTTTCCACCTCAGGAGTTCTGGAGAGAGCACATTAACAGATGAATAAGATTTTTTATATCAAATGTAAAATATTTTCATATTATTTGTTTTGCAATTTTAGTACAATTCCTGCTTGAAGCTAGTTAAACATGTGTTTTATCATATATACACACAAAAAGTATACTTGCGTATATACAGAATTATATTAAAAATATATACGTCTCCATGCACACCTCTAAATGAACATATACATGCCCATACAAACACATCAGTCCAAAATCCACATTTCCATCCCTTGTTATTAGACGAACTAATAGTTAATGGAAAAAGGAAATTGAAAAATGGTTAAATTAAAAAATAGATTAATGAAAAATGGGTAAATAAATAAAGGGATAAATGAAAAATGGACAAATGAAAAATAGATAAATGAAAAATAGATAAAACAGAAATTGAGGAATAGATAATCTGAAAAATAAATAAATAAAAAAATTGGCTTAATGAAAAAGGGAAATTGAAAAGTGGTTAAATGAAAATTAGATTAATGAAAAATGGGTAAATGGATAAAGGAATAAATGACAAATAATGAAATTATTTTACTCATTATTTATTTAATTTTGGTTGAAATGGCTCTCCATACACATGGAGACATGGCCTGCTTTGGACAGTTTTTTATTCTATGTCTGCCTCGGCAGATGGCCGCTCACACTGAGCCTGGTTCTGCTGGAGGTTTCTTCCTGTTCAAAGGGAGTTTTTCCTCTCCACTGTCGCTACAAGCATGCTTAGTGTGAGGGATTGCTGAAGAGTCAATGAGTCGATGCAATCAGCTGGTTTTCCTTAGATAGAAAACTTTGAATCAATCTGACTGGATGATCTGGTTGACCTGGAAAGTGACCTGAGATGACAGGATGTGAATTGGAGCTATAGAAATACACTGAATTGAACAACTAGATCCTTCCAACTGTTAGCTGCCCCTCAGGCTTTAATCCAATTCATCTAATATTTTGTTTCTGATGAATCGGTTATTTTTCCACTGATATAACCCTCGTCCTTCAATAGAGTAACTCCAGATCATCACGTTGATTTCTTCCTCATATCTGACAAACTAGCTCCCAGCGAGCTCGTTCTAGGTCCGCTAGTCGTCTGTGATATATTTGTAATCTTTTAATAGTTTGCTGTGAAACCAACGGGTTTTAGCAGCTTAATTTTTGTTCCTCTTTAGATTGACGTCACCTCCCAGATGAGATGATCAAAGTCATTTTCATTAGGAAACTTTAGAGAGAACAAAAACTGATTAATTAGATTTAGTAGGAACAAATCTGTGATTAAATTTTTAAACCATGTTACCAATCCCTAACTATTAGAGGTTAAAATGTCTGTAGACATCAGCGGTGAAGGGCTGCTGTGGTGACATTCAGGGTCCAGGAGGTGTTCTCCAGACAGACTGTAACCAGAACATAAAATGACCTCATTTCCTGCTCCATGGTCACATAAACACCTTCTTTACTGTAAATCCAAACTGAACCAGTTTACTGCTATTGATTGTTTTAATATCTCAGTCTTATGGATCCTATTTGGTGTTTGGTTTATTCTCTGCATGAACATGAACATGTTGGTACTGACCTCTGAAGCCAGCAGATTAAATGAGTTCGTAAGCATCCTGTCGATATAAACCGATGCTCAAACTCCTGTTTTTAGGAGTCATTTTCAGGGCAAGAAAGGAGCAAAGTTCTGTTGAAGCACAAAAAAATATATCTAAGTCGTTTTTTTCTGAAAATTAGTGCATTTTTTCTTGAATTGAGGAGTTAAGTGAGACACAATTGGAACAAGACCATTTACATTTGAAATAAGAAACAGTTTCATTGTCTTATTCCAAGTGCATATTATCTAATGTATTATTATTTTAAGATTAAAAATACTAATACATGTCATCTAATTTACCTGCTCAAATTAAGGGTAAATCCACCTTATTTAAGAAATTTTAACTTATTTCTACATGTTTTTTTGCAGTGTGAATAGTGGCTTGGTCCAGTGTCTGTTTTAAAGTGTTGCTAGTGCTATACTTAGCAGCCTAAAGTCTAACCTTGGGTTTGTTTCCCCTCAGCGCCCCAATGCCTTTCCTCATAGGAGTTCATTCCAGCCTGATGGAGGTAGGCCGGCCATCAGAGTCTCTCTGAACGCAGCTTACATCACGCCACTGATTTAAATCCTCTTTGCTCTCCAATGGGTCTAGAAAGTTCAAGGGATGGCTTTGGATGATGTGGTGCTCTTGAACGTTGACACCAACACCCTGGAATCCCCCTATGATGACCTTCAAAGCCTTCCCAATGACGTGGTGAGAGGCTCCTGGAAGCCACTGGGTTTTCTATTTGGTTTAAAGCAGTGTTGTTTCTGACAGCCATCTTAGATTTAGTCTTAGTTTTCATCTTCAGGACGTAAACTATTGTTAGCTTACTCACATTTTAGTCATTATGACGTGTTTAGTTAAAATTTTCACTTCATTAAACAGTTAACTTTTAGAATTTCAATAAAAGCCAGATTCTTTCCCAGACTGACAGCTCTATCCTAGATGCTACAATAGCTGGGTATAGAATGCTGCTGTGCAGATCATCATTGCTGTTGGGCAGAAAACTTTGGTTTATAGAATTCAGATAAACTGTTTAATGAATGAATGACCTACTTTATAAAAAAGTGTCCCAGAGAAGCCGTGAAAATAGCAGATCTAGATCAACACATCCTCTTGGTTAATATAGCAGATCTAGATCAACACATCCTCTTGGTTAATATAGCAGATCTAGATCAACACATCCTCTTGGTTAATATAGCAGATCTAGATCAACACATCCTCTTGGTTAATATAGCAGATCTAGATCAACACATCCTCTTGGTTAATATAGCAGATCTAGATCAACACATCCTCTTGGTTAATATAGCAGATCTAGATCAACACATCCTCTTGGTTAATATAGCAGATCTAGATCAACACATCCTCTTGGTTAATATAGCAGATCTAGATCAACACATCCTCTTGGTTAATATAGCAGATCTAGTTCAACACATCCTCTAGGTTAATATCGCAGATCTAGTTCAACACATCCTCTGGGTTAATATAGCAGATCTAGTTCAACACATCCTCTGGGTTAATATAGCAGATCTAGTTCAACACATCCTCTGGGTTAATATAGCAGATCTAGATCAACACATCCTCTTGGTTAATATAGCAGATCTAGATCAACACATCCTCTTGGTTAATATAGCAGATCTAGATCAACACATCCTCTTGGTTAATATAGCAGATCTAGATCAACACATCCTCTTGGTTAATATAGCAGATCTAGATCAACACATCCTCTTGGTTAATATAGCAGATCTAGATCAACACATCCTCTTGGTTAATATAGCAGATCTAGTTCAACACATCCTCTAGGTTAATATCGCAGATCTAGTTCAACACATCCTCTGGGTTAATATAGCAGATCTAGTTCAACACATCCTCTGGGTTAATATAGCAGATCTAGTTCAACACATCCTCTGGGTTAATATAGCAGATCTAGATCAACACATCCTCTTGGTTAATATAGCAGATCTAGATCAACACATCCTCTTGGTTAATATAGCAGATCTAGATCAACACATCCTCTTGGTTAATATAGCAGATCTAGTTCAACACATCCTCTAGGTTAATATCGCAGATCTAGTTCAACACATCCTCTTGGTTAATATGGCAGATCTAGTTCAACACATCCTCCTGGTTAATATAGCAGATCTAGTTCAACACATCCTCTTGGTTAATATGGCAGATCTAGTTCAACACATCCTCTTGGTTAATATAGCAGATCTAGTTCAACACATCCTCTTGGTTAATATGGCAGATCTAGTTCAACACATCCTCTTGGTTAATATAGCAGATCTAGTTCAACACATCCTCTTGGTTTATATAGCAGATCTAGTTCAACACATCCTCTGGGTTAATATAGCAGATCTAGTTCAACACATCCTCTTGGTTAATATAGCAGATCTAGTTCAACACATCCTCTGGGTTAATATAGCAGATCTAGTTCAACACATCCTCTTGGTTAATATAGCAGATCTAGTTCAACACATCCTCTTGGTTTATATAGCAGATCTAGTTCAACACATCCTCTGGGTTAATATAGCAGATCTAGTTCAACACATCCTCTTGGTTTATATAGCAGATCTAGTTCAACACATCCTCTGGGTTAATATAGCAGATCTAGTTCAACACATCCTCTGGGTTAATATAGCAGATCTAGTTCAACACATCCTCTTGGTTTATATAGCAGATCTAGTTCAACACATCCTCTTGGTTAATATAGCAGATCTAGTTCAACACATCCTCTTGGTTTATATAGCAGATCTAGTTCAACACATCCTCTTGGTTAATATAGCAGATCTAGTTCAACACATCCTCTGGGTTAATATAGCAGATCTAGTTCAACACATCCTCTTGGTTTATATAGCAGATCTAGTTCAACACATCCTCTTGGTTAATATAGCAGATCTAGTTCAACACATCCTCTGGGTTAATATAGCAGATCTAGTTCAACACATCCTCTGGGTTAATATAGCAGATCTAGTTCAACACATCCTCATGGTTAATATAGCAGATCTAGTTCAACACATCCTCTTGGTTTATATAGCAGATCTATTTTCAACAAAAATCCCCCAAGGTTAATTTTAGCAATTCTTTTTCAACACATCCTCTTTGGTTTTAAATTATACAGACCCTATTCCCAAAAACCACCCCTTTTGGGTTTTAATATAGCAGATCTAGTTAAAACAAAACCTTTCTTTTTTAATTTAAAAGCAGATCTAGTTAAACACATCCTCGGGGTTTTTAATATAGCAATCTAGTTAAACCCACATCCTCGGGGTTAATATGGGCAGATCTATTCAACACTCCTTTTGGTTAATATAGCAGATCTATTCCCAACACATCCTCAAATTTAATATAGCAACCCTATTCAACAAAAATCCCTTTGGTTTAAATATAGCAATCATTCCCAACACACCCCATGGTTAATATAGCAGACCCTAGTTAAACCACATCCTCGGGGTTTAATATACAAATTAGTTCAACACACCCTTTCTAGTTAAAAATACAGATCTAGTTAACACATCCTCTGGGTTAATATGCAATCTTTCAACACATCCTCTTGGTTAATATAGCAGATCTAGTTCAACACATCCTCTGGGTTAATATAGCAGATCTAGTTCAACACATCCTCTGGGTTAATATAGCAGATCTAGTTCAACACATCCTCATGGTTAATATAGCAGATCTAGTTCAACACATCCTCTAGGTTAATATAGCAGATCTAGTTCAACACATCCTTTTGGTTAATATAGCAGATCTAGTTCAACACATCCTCATGGTTAATATAGCAGATCTAGTTCAACACATCCTCTGGGTTAATATAGCAGATCTAGTTCAACACATCCTCTTGGTTAATATAGCAGATCTAGTTCAACACATCCTCTTGGTTAATATAGCAGATCTAGTTCAACACATCCTCATGGTTAATATAGCAGATCTAGTTCAACACATCCTCTAGGTTAATATAGCAGATCTAGTTCAACACATCCTTTTGGTTAATATAGCAGATCTAGTTCAACACATCCTCATGGTTAATATAGCAGATCTAGTTCAACACATCCTCTAGGTTAATATAGCAGATCTAGTTCAACACATCCTTTTGGTTAATATAGCAGATCTAGTTCAACACATCCTCATGGTTAATATAGCAGATCTAGTTCAACACATCCTCATGGTTAATATAGCAGATCTAGTTCAACACATCCTCTAGGTTAATATAGCAGATCTAGTTCAACACATCCTTTTGGTTAATATAGCAGATCTAGTTCAACACATCCTCATGGTTAATATAGCAGATCTAGTTCAACACATCCTCTGGGTTAATATAGCAGATCTAGTTCAACACATCCTCTTGGTTTATATAGCAGATCTAGTTCAACACATCCTCTGGGTTAATATAGCAGATCTAGTTCAACACATCCTCTTGGTTAATATAGCAGATCTAGTTCAACACATCCTCTAGGTTAATATAGCAGATCTAGTTCAACACATCCTCTTGGTTAATATAGCAGATCTAGTTCAACACATCCTTTTGGTTAATATAGCAGATCTAGTTCAACACATCCTCATGGTTAATATAGCAGATCTAGTTCAACACATCCTCATGGTTAATATAGCAGATCTAGTTCAACACATCCTTTTGGTTAATATAGCAGATCTAGTTCAACACATCCTCATGGTTAATATAGCAGATCTAGTTCAACACATCCTCTTGGTTAATATAGCAGATCTAGTTCAACACATCCTCTTGGTTTATATAGCAGATCTAGTTCAACACATCCTCTGGGTTAATATAGCAGATCTAGTTCAACACATCCTCTTGGTTAATATAGCAGATCTAGTTCAACACATCCTCTAGGTTAATATAGCAGATCTAGTTCAACACATCCTCTTGGTTAATATAGCAGATCTAGTTCAACACATCCTCATGGTTAATATAGCAGATCTAGTTCAACACATCCTCTGGGTTAATATAGCAGATCTAGTTCAACACATCCTCTAGGTTAATATAGCAGATCTAGTTCAACACATCCTCTAGGTTAATATAGCAGATCTAGTTCAACACATCCTCTTGGGTTAATATAGCAGATCTAGTTCAACACATCCTCTTGGTTAATATAGCAGATCTAGTTCAACACATCCTCTGGTTAATATAGCAGATCTAGTTCAACACATCCTCTTGGTTAATATAGCAGATCTAGTTCAACACATCCTCTTGGTTAATATAGCAGATCTAGTTCAACACATCCTCTTGGTTAATATAGCAGATCTAGTTCAACACATCCTCTTGGTTAATATAGCAGATCTAGTTCAACACATCCTCTGGGTTAATATAGCAGATCTAGTTCAACACATCCTCTTGGTTAATATAGCAGATCTAGTTCAACACATCCTCTTGGTTAATATAGCAGATCTAGTTCAACACATCCTCTTGGTTAATATAGCAGATCTAGTTCAACACATCCTCTTGGTTAATATAGCAGATCTAGTTCAACACATCCTCTTGGTTTATATAGCAGATCTAGTTCAACACATCCTCTTGGTTAATATAGCAGATCTAGTTCAACACATCCTCTTGGTTAATATAGCAGATCTAGTTCAACACATCCTCTTGGTTTATATAGCAGATCTAGTTCAACACATCCTCTTGGTTAATATAGCAGATCTAGTTCAACACATCCTCTTGGTTATATAGCAGATCTAGTTCAACACATCCTCTTGGTTAATATAGCAGATCTAGTTCAACACATCCTCTTGGTTAATATAGCAGATCTAGTTCAACACATCCTCTTGGTTAATATAGCAGATCTAGTTCAACACATCCTCTTGGTTAATATAGCAGATCTAGTTCAACACATCCTCTTGGTTAATATAGCAGATCTAGTTCAACACATCCTCTGGGTTAATATAGCAGATCTAGTTCAACACATCCTCTTGGTTAATATAGCAGATCTAGTTCAACACATCCTCTTGGTTTATATAGCAGATCTAGTTCAACACATCCTCTAGGTTAATATAGCAGATCTAGTTCAACACATCCTCTTGGTTAATATAGCAGATCTAGTTCAACACATCCTCATGGTTAATATAGCAGATCTAGTTCAACACATCCTCTTGGTTAATATAGCAGATCTAGTTCAACACATCCTCTTGGTTAATATAGCAGATCTAGTTCAACACATCCTCTGGGTTAATATAGCAGATCTAGTTCAACACATCCTCTTGGTTAATATAGCAGATCTAGTTCAACACATCCTCTGGGTTAATATAGCAGATCTAGTTCAACACATCCTCTTGGTTAATATAGCAGATCTAGTTCAACACATCCTCTAGGTTAATATAGCAGATCTAGTTCAACACATCCTCTTGGTTAATATAGCAGATCTAGTTCAACACATCCTCATGGTTAATATAGCAGATCTAGTTCAACACATCCTCTAGGTTAATATAGCAGATCTATTTTCAACACATCCTTTTTGGGGTTTTAATAATAGAAAGATCTATTTTCAACACACCCTCAGGGTTTAATAAGCAATCTAGTTCAACACAACCCCCCAAAATTTTAATATACAGATCTAGTTCAAACACCCTTTGGGGGTTAATATAGCAGATCTAGTTCAACACATCCTAAATTGGTTAAAAATACAAAATCTAGTTCAACCCCATCCTGGGGGTTTAAAATTATAGAAATTTTCCAAATTTTCAAAAAACCTCAGGTTAATAAAAGCAATCTGTTAAAACACTTTCCTTTTTTGGTTAATAAAAGCAATTTTAGTTAAAAACACACCCGGGGGTTAATATAGCAATCTATTCAACCCCTCCCTTGGTTAAAAATACAACATTTTTCAACACATCCTTTTGGGTTTAATATAGCAGATTTTATTTCAACACATCCTCTGGGTTAATAAACAGTCTATTCAACACACCCCTTTGGTTAATAATAGCAATCTATTCAACACATCCTCTAGGTTAATATAGCAGATCTAGTTCAACACATCCTCTTGGTTAATATAGCAGATCTAGTTCAACACATCCTCATGGTTAATATAGCAGATCTAGTTCAACACATCCTCTGGGTTAATATAGCAGATCTAGTTCAACACATCCTCTAGGTTAATATAGCAGATCTAGTTCAACACATCCTCTAGGTTAATATAGCAGATCTAGTTCAACACATCCTCTTGGTTAATATAGCAGATCTAGTTCAACACATCCTCTGGGTTAATATAGCAGATCTAGTTCAACACATCCTCTGGGTTAATATAGCAGATCTAGTTCAACACATCCTCATGGTTAATATAGCAGATCTAGTTCAACACATCCTCTAGGTTAATATAGCAGATCTAGTTCAACACATCCTTTTGGTTAATATAGCAGATCTAGTTCAACACATCCTCATGGTTAATATAGCAGATCTAGTTCAACACATCCTCTGGGTTAATATAGCAGATCTAGTTCAACACATCCTCTTGGTTAATATAGCAGATCTAGTTCAACACATCCTCTTGGTTTATATAGCAGATCTAGTTCAACACATCCTCTGGGTTAATATAGCAGATCTAGTTCAACACATCCTCTTGGTTAATATAGCAGATCTAGTTCAACACATCCTCTTGGTTAATATAGCAGATCTAGTTCAACACATCCTCTTGGTTAATATAGCAGATCTAGTTCAACACATCCTCTTGGTTAATATAGCAGATCTAGTTCAACACATCCTCTTGGTTAATATAGCAGATCTAGTTCAACACATCCTCTTGGTTAATATAGCAGATCTAGTTCAACACATCCTCTTGGTTAATATAGCAGATCTAGTTCAACACATCCTCTTGGTTAATATGGCAGATCTAGTTCAACACATCCTCTTGGTTAATATTGCAGACAGACAAGCTAACAAAATGTCTATAAAGGAATGATTTTAGACATCCAAGGTTTCCATCCCAAAGCAAACACTTCCTGGTCTGCTGTGAATTATGCATTACACACAGATCAATACAATCTACATTAATCCAAAAAAAGCAAAGAACAAAAACATTCTTCTTTCTACTTTGGTGATTTTAACTTTATTTCTTCAGTTTGCGCCTCATATACTGCTGCTCAGGGGTCAAAGTAGATTTATACTCACAGGGATATGATATAAAAAAAATACAGAGAGAACCTACATCATTGCTAAATAAGGGCATGGCAACCAGACCTACATTTAACTAAAATTTTTAAATATTCAAATAGATATAAACGAGTACAATGAGAGAGAAATATTCAAAGATCTATGAACCTTTTCATCTGGATGTTTATCCAAAAATAAACAATTCAATGAAATATTTGCTTTGGATATAATTTAGGGATTTATTGTGGTAGAAATTACAGAATGTTTAGTATCACCTCTTGTGAGCTGGAAGACATAAAATGTTGATAGTTAGACAAAGGGATTTTTTACACTTGGCAGAGGATGATCAGCCACATATAGTTTATTAAGTAGCGAGAGCAGGAGGAGTCATGCTGCTGAGAGCGAACCATCAGAGTGGAGGGTAAAGCGCAGACTCTGACCCTCAGATTCCACATCCTCCGTCTCTGCTCCGCCCACCTCGCGCCACTCACGTACGTTGCTTCGGGCCGATAGAAGGCAGCCAGGTCAAGATCCGTAATTGCAATTGCAATCGCGCCAAACAGGAAAACTAATGTAGACAACATCTGGTTTGTCAAATTTAAATATGGTGACAACAGATCTGAGACTGTTTAATGTTTTAAAATATTTATTTTATACAGAGAGGTTTAAAGTTTAATAAAATCCAGTCACAGCAGCTTCTAGCATCTGATGACTTCAAAACAAACTTCTTATCTCAGGCATGGGTGAAGAGATGAACAAACCAAGAGAACAAACCAATGTTGTATGATCCTAATTATCCTGATTACAAAGATCCACAACAAAAAGAAAATGTTTTGGCAGAAACTTGGGATTGATGCTGAGTTTTAATGATGTCATATTAAATTAATTGTTCATCACATCATGTTTTTGTCCTATAAATTAAATGATAATCTAGCATTATTATCTCCTGGAGTTCCAGGGAAGTCAGAGCAGAACAAGACATAAACGTCCGACAGACATTTTTATTTAGCCTCGTCTAGTCAATGAAAACTCACACCCATGACTTGTCATGTTTTCATCATCAAAGATCCACATTAAGCTTGTCAGTTCTTGTCATAAAAAAGTAGCGTCAACAAAATAATCTCATCAACATTGTCAAAGACAACACTTGTTTTAACGGTTCTATACTTTTAACAGTTTAGAACTGTTCTCATTAACCCTGAGGGCATGGCATAGGGTCAGCCTGGGGGCCTGGCATACCGTCAGCCTGGCATACCGTCAGCCTGGCATAGGGCCAGGCCCCCAACCTATGCCAGGCTGGGGGCCTGGCATAGGTTCAGCCTAGAGGCCTGCTATAGAGTCAGCCTGGCATAGGCCCAGCCTGGGGGCCTGGCATAGGGTCAGCCTGGCATTCAGTCAGGCTGGCACTGGGTCAGCTTGGCATTAGGTCAGCCTAGCATAGGATTAGCTTGGCATAGGGTCAGCCTGACATTGGGTCAGCCTAGCCTCTGGGCCTGACATAGGGTCAGCCTGGCATGGGTCAACCTAACATAGGGTCAGCCTGAGGGCCTGGCATTGGGTCAACCTGCCATAGGGTCAGCCTGGGGGCCTGGCATAGGGTCAGTCTGGCATAGGGTCAGCCTGCCATAGGGTCAGCCTGGCGCCTTGGCATAGCGTCAGCCTGGGGGCCTGGCATAGGGTCAGTCTGTTATAGGATAAGCTTGGGTTCCTGGGATAGGGTCAGCCTGGCATAGAGTCAGTCTTAGAGGTCAGTGTGAAAATGGTGCACTAATGAACTTTCTGGTCTGCAGGTTTCATCCTTAAAGAGTCGTCTAAAGAAGGTTTCAACGACAACAGGTGACGGTGTGGCTCGAGCCTTCCTGAAGAGTCAGGCGTCTCTGTTTGGCAGCTACAGGAACGCCCTGCAGATCGAAGTGGTCAGTTTGTTATGGAGCTTCAACATTAACGTTACAGCTTGCAGTCAAACTAGCTCGTCGTCTTTCAGCACTTCTTTTTCCGGCCCAGACAACAAATGTTTTGTGATCACAGAGTAAAGTTGATTGCTGTGATTTTCTACATAAATTAAAAGGGATCAGAATTGTAATTTCCCATGGGCTGGCGTTGCCTTTTTCTTTAGACATCAGCTTGGCAAACCAAGTTTAAGTCTGAGCTGCTTTTTAGGGGGAGCCAATCACGTTCAGTGAGGAGACATTCATCAGCCATCGATCCAGTGCCATGAGACAGTTTCTCCAGAATGCCATCCAGCTGCAGCTGTTCAAACAGGTACGCACCAGTAGCTCCAGCTGCTCCAGTGAACCGGGCGCACAGGCTGACGCCATCTTTCTGTTTCTGATGCAGTTTATTGATGGCCGCTTGGACCTGCTCAACTCAGGGGAGGGTTTCAATGACATCTTTGAGGAGGAGATTAACATGGGGGAGTACGCAGGTGAGCCACCAGTGGAGCCTAACAGAGCTGGGCTTTACTCACTGTTTCCTCCGCCACTATGGGAGGGGGGGTGGGTGACCAATCAGTACCTGGGGTGGATATTAGCGGTGGCTGAGACACGCTGATCCAGATTATCCCAAACATGTCCACCATGACAGAAATGGATGTTTCCAGGAAGCGTGAGCAGATACTGGGGCCCAGTGCATGCGGATACTGGGACGGAGTGATGGCGGATACTGGGACGGAGTGCATGCGGATACTGGGACAGAGTGCGGCGGATACTGGGACGGAGTGCGGATACTGGGACGGAGTGCGGGCGGATACTGGGACAGAGTGCGGGCAGATACTGACACGGAGTGCGGGCAGATACTGAGACGGAGTGCGGGCGGATACTGAGACGGAGTGCGGGCGGATACTGGGACGGAGTGCGGGCAGATACTGAGACGGAGTGGGGGCGGATACTGGGACGGAGTGAGTGCGGATACTGGGACGGAGTGGGGGCGGATACTGGGACGGAGTGCGGGCGGATACTGAGACGGAGTGCGGGCGGATACTGAGACGGAGTGCGGGCGGATACTGGGACAGAGTGCGGGCAGATACTGACACGGAGTGCGGGCAGATACTGAGACGGAGTGCGGGCGGATACTGAGACGGAGTGCGGGCGGATACTGGGACGGAGTGCGGGCAGATACTGAGACGGAGTGGGGGCGGATACTGAGACGGAGTGCGGGCGGATACTGGGACGGAGTGGGGGCGGATACTGGGACGGAGTGGGGGCGGATACTGGGACGGAGTGGGGGCGGATACTGGGACGGAGTGGGGGCGGATACTGAGACGGAGTGCGGGCGGATACTGGGACGGAATGAGTGCGGATACTGGGACAGAGTGAGTGCGGATACTTGGACGGAGTGAGTGCGGATACTGAGACGGAGTTCGGGCGGATACTGGGACGGAGTGCGGGCGGATACTGGGACGGAGTGCGGGCGGATACTGGGACGGAGTGGGGGCGGATACTGGGACGGAGTGGGGGCGGATACTGGGACGGAATGAGTGCGGATACTGGGACGGAGTGAGTGCGGATACTGGGACGGAGTGAGTGCGGATACTGGGACGGAGTGAGTGCGGATACTGGGACGGAGTGAGTGCGGATACTGAGACGGAGTGCGGGCGGATACTGGGACGGAGTGCGGGCGGATACTGGGACGGAGTGGGGGCGGATACTGAGACGGAGTGCGGGCGGATACTGGGACGGAGTGAGTGCGGATACTGGGACGGAGTGAGTGCGGATACTGGGACGGAGTGAGTGCGGATACTGAGACGGAGTGCGTGCGGATCCTGGGACGGAGTGCGTGCGGATACTGGGACGGAGTGAGTGCGGATACTGGGACGGAGTGAGTGCGGATACTGAGACGGAGTGCGGGCGGATACTGGGACGGAGTGCGGGCGGATACTGGGACGGAGTGGGGGCGGATACTGAGACGGAGTGTGGGCGGATACTGGGACGGAGTGGGGGCGGATACTGGGACGGAATGAGTGCGGATACTGGGACGGAGTGAGTGCGGATACTGGGACGGAGTGAGTGCGGATACTGGGACGGAGTGCGTGCGGATACTGGGACGGAGTGAGTGCGGATACTGGGACGGAGTGCGGGCGGATACTGGGACGGAGTGCGGGCGGATACTGGGACGGAGTGCGGGCGGATACTGAGACGGAGTGCGGGCGGATACTGGGACGGAGTGCGGGCGGATACTGAGACGGAGTGCGGGCGGATACTGGGACGGAGTGCGGGCGGATACTCGCATGGAGTGCGGGCGGATACTGGGACGGAGTGAGTGCGGACACTGGGACGGAGTGCGTGCGGACACTGGGACGGAGTGCGTGCGGACACTGGGACGGAGTGCGTGCGGACACTGGGAGGGAGTGCGGGCGGACACTGGGACGGTGTGTGGGCGCGGATGCTGCAATGGATTGATGGCGGACTGGGACGGAGTGCGTGCGGACACTGGGACGAAGTGCGGGCGGACACTGGGACGGAGTGCGGGCGGACACTGGGACGGAGTGCGGGCGGACACTGGGACGGAGTGCGGGCGGACACTGGGACGGAGTGCGTGCGGACACTGGGACGGAGTGCGGGCGGACACTGGGACGGAGTGCGTGCGGACACTGGGACGGAGTGCGTGCGGACACTGGGACGGAGTGCGTGCGGACACTGGGACGGAGTGCGTGCGGACACTGGGACGGAGTGCGTGCGGACACTGGGACGGAGTGCGTGCGGACACTGGGACGGAGTGCGTGCGGACACTGGGACGGAGTGCGGGCGGACACTGGGACGGAGTGCGTGCGGACACTGGGACGGAGTGCGTGCGGACACTGGGACGGAGTGCGTGCGGACACTGGGACGGAGTGCGTGCGGACACTGGGACGGAGTGCGTGCGGACACTGGGACGGAGTGCGTGCGGACACTGGGACGGAGTGCGGGCGGACACTGGGACGGAGTGCGTGCGGACACTGGGACGGAGTGCGTGCGGACACTGGGACGGAGTGCGTGCGGACACTGGGACGGAGTGTGGGCGGACACTGGGACGGAGTGTGGGCGCGGATGCTGCAATGGATTGATGGCGGACTGGGACGGAGTGCGTGCGGACACTGGGACGGAGTGCGGGCGGATACTGGGACGGTGTGTGGGCGCGGATGCTGCAATGGATTGATGGCGGATACTGGGACGGAGTGCGTGCAGATACTGGGACGGAGTGCGTGCGGATCCTGGGACGGAGTGCGTGCGGATCCTGGGACGGAGTGCGTGCGGACACTGGGACGGAGTGCGTGCGGACACTGGGACGGAGTGTGGGCGCGGATGCTGCAATGGATTGATGGCGGACTGGGACGGAGTGCATGCGGATACTGGGACGGAGTGCGGGCGGACACTGGGACGGAGTGTGGGCGCGGATGCTGCAATGGATTGATGGCGGATACTGGGACGGAGTGCGTGCGGATACTGGGAGGGAGTGCGGGCGGACACTGGGACGGAGTGCTAGCGAATACTCTGATGAAGTGCGAGCCGGTACTGGGATGAAGTGATTACATCAAGCTGGTTTCAATGTGGTTAAAGTTTAACCATTAAAGCTCGACCTCATTAGGAATCACAGGGAGAACAGAAACATGGAGACAAAAGGTTTTTCTCATTTTACCACATACTGACATGGAGGTTTCTGCCCCCCCCCCCCCCCCCCCCCCCCCCCCCCCCCCACAGGCAGTGACCGGACCTACCACCAGTGGCTCCTCACTGTGAAGGTGAGAATCCATTTCAACTCTTCTCTGGTGTTTCTATCGGCAGATAGCAGCTAAACTGGTGAACAGCTACAGCAGGAACGCAAACTTTGGATTCTATGCAGGAATTTACTCCATAATGTTCTGTTCTGGCCTGCGATGGACTGCTGACCTGTGCAAGGTGGACCCCGCCTCTCACCAGTAGAAAGGGTGACGGAAAATGGATGGATGGATGTTATGTTCTAGAACAAAAAGCAGATGACAGAGAAATGTTCTCTGGTTGAAGTGCTTCATGCAGACACCCTGATGCTGTGATCAACATCAGCTCTGCAGGGTCCCATAACAGATGTTTAGGAATAAAAACAAAAGCAATAAAATTTTATCAGCTTCATGGATGTAAACAGTCTGTACTTAGATACCAGGAGACCTGACCTATATTCAGACACTCCCTGATGGTGGTGAACTACTCAGCTTTAGCCACAGCTGCTCTGGGGCTCACTCCTATCAGTAGGCATGGCGGGTGAAGCTGTAGCGGGGGCTTGAACCTACAACCCTTCAGTTGCAGGGCAAACTCCTACTAGAGGTTCATTCTAGTATCTTATACTCTGTAGAAATGTAGCAGTGAATGAAGCAAACGCTGCAGGTTGGGTTAGAGTCGATGATGTAATTATGGATTTTATGGCTTTTGAGACTGTTAGCTTTGTGGAGGCGACCATCCGCTCTACAGTCAGAACAGCTTTGTTTCCATCTAATGAGTGAGAACTGTCATCTCCACCTCTAACTCTGTAATGTTTTCAAACAGAAAGGGGGCGGAGCTATTTTTCAGACCGTGAAGACCAAAGCCAACCCAGCCATGAAGACCGTCTACAAGTTTGTAAGCACCAAAGTGTCCGTCCATAGCTTTGTTTTAATGTGGAAGGTGCAAAGACTGCTGATGGTGTAACTCCTCCCCTACCGCTGCTCCTCCTGACGACGCGGCTGTGTTTGTTTAACAGGCAAAGGACCACGCCAAGATGCGCATCAAAGAGGTCAAAAGCCGGTTGAAACAGAAGGTGAGTAACTTTACTGATCTGCTGGGTTGGAATGATTCTCCGTCTGTGTTCGATATCATAAACATTAAACCCTGTAAGCCCGGCATGCCGGTACCCCGCCCAGCTGACACCAGCTGATGTTTATCTAATTATAGAAATGACCAAAACGCTGTTACATGGTGTTTCATCCATACGCCTTTCAATGGGGCTTTAAAATTTCTAAAACATGTTTCAAATAAAAAAAAAAATGAAATGAGATTTAAAATTCCACCTGACGTGTGTGACTCTGTGGGAGTAATGCAACAGCAGGTATTCATTTTTAGCCCCGCCCCCTATTGGCCACCATCATTGGAAACTAGAGGCTCAGACCTTTCCAAGGAGGGGTCAGAGGTCATTGTGAGACCATTTCAGGTGATGGAACCGCCATGCGCTCCATAAGCTGCTCTGTTATTCTTATTTTCTATTCAGTCTGGTGGAATTATTGATACATTTTAATGAATCAATAATTAAATCTAAGGGGCAAAGGCTTTGCTTTATGCAGAAGGTCTCCAATAATGGAAATCAGTATATTTGTCTGACCAGATTCCCTTTTATGAAGAGAAAAATGCATTTTTGCACTTTTGGCTCTGTGCCATTATCCCATTTCCTCCTAGCACTCTGCCCACTAAACAAACATGCTTCAACTGATTCAGTCCAAATTAGCTTCAGTTCTAGTTAAGATGTGGATCTATAAAGCCTGAGGGTTCATCCAGAGTTTCTAATGGGCTTTATGGTGTTTTGCAGAGTTTCTTTTAGAAAAAAAATTGGCGAGATAAAATATTTTTTATATGTTTAATCACCTATAAATCAGACATGGTGATGTTTAGAATAGTGGTTCTACCTGATAAATATTCCTCAATGCCTTTCTATCACACAGATACAAACAATTGTCTTTCTAATTTATAGTTTGGGAGCTGAACTTCACATCCCTAATTTCAGGTGGAATTTGCTCCTGAGCCCCTCTGGGCTTAAAGAGGTTAAACTAGCAGACAAGGTTCCAACTTTAGATTCAGTTTCTGCTCCTTTTCTGTTTTTAAATGCTTCATTTTTGCACAATGATCTAAAACCTGTAGAAACTTGTGCTGCGATGGTTGGAGCTTTGAGGAGCTGTTTGTAAAGACGTTGGCTTTATTTGGAGTCTATTGAACCAACAGAACAGAAAACATGACAGGAACCAAAGCAGCAGATCTCCTTTGATTGCTGGTCTCTACTTTGCTGCTAAATTCACGTCGTTCCTTGTTGGTTGGAACCTGTAACATCTGCAGACGTTCAAACAGAAATGATCCAGGAAGCTGCTCTCTAGTTTGTTTTTTCTGACTGTTACATGGCGTGTCGATGTTTTCTCCTCCTGCAGGAGCAGGGGGAGAACGGCTTCGCCACCCCTGGGTCAGCAGGGAATGATGACGACAGCACCGCAGAGTTTGCTTTTCCCGCTGCCACGGTCCTGAGGGGTGGAGCTGAGCGAACATGGGACGGCCACCGGCCAGTGACTGTGCACTTTGGACAGGTGAAGCGTTGGTCAGGGCTGCACCGTAGATATTCCATTTTCAGATGTCAACCTTCTGTTGTTCTGCGTCTCTACATCCGATCAGCCTGTCCTGCTTTCAGCCTCCCTTCCTGGGAGCTTTGTTAGCTTCTTTTCTGTAAAATCATCCACTGGAAGCAGTGAGAGCTTCAGCTCCTCCCCTCCTGTCTGGTCCAGCCATGCTTTGAGTGTTTGGAGTTCTGGTCCTTCCACACACGATGAAGCTGGAGAAAGAAAGCCTGAGTCATCTTTTCTCTGTCGTGTCTGCAGGCCCAGCCTCCAACACTACTGAAGAGGCCCAGCAGTAATGTGAGTCTGGAGAGCAGCTGTGAGCAGTAAGTCCATCTTTCTTCTGAACTCTCCTCATGTGTTCTGTTCCCTGTTGGGTTTATGGCTGTTCATCTTTAACCTTCTGCCTTTTGGTGAGTGTAGTGGGAAAAAAGTATTCAACTATTTACTCCAGTTAATTAAATGGAGATCAATGGATTTCACTCAGTCGGCACTTTATTTTCATATCTGTGCAAAGAGAGATCAGTTCATCATACGGTCCTTATTGCACGGTAATCAGCCCTGTTCTGCATGAGCAGCGTTCATCCCTCCTTACTTACAACAATAGAAAGTAGTCAAAGCAAATTACACTTCGGTTAAACATTAACATGCTATGAATAAACCTGATGAAAGAATTTGGTTTATTTAGGGAAGAAGGTTTGTCTTGTCTACAAATTATGAGACCTTGCAGGTGAAACAGACAAAGTGAAAACTTTTATAGTGTGTAAAAAAGCATAAATGAATATATGATTTAAGAGAAACAAAATTTTTTGACAACAGTGAAGTTTTTCAAATTGTAATTTTCAGGAAACCTTCTCGGAAACATTTCTTTTTTTAAAGAAATAACATTAATATACTTTCAGAAGTTTAAGTGACAGTCACTGAAATGATCAGAGTCAAAAAATACATGAACTGCAGATAAACACCAGATAATAAAGCTAACTGCAATGTTACAGACTGTTCAGAAACTAAAGTGTCGCCCTGCAGGAGCCAGATGACCAGATGCTCCATCACCGTGTCGGTGGCTGAAGGCCCCTTTCTCATTGGTCACTGGTTTCTGTCTAAGAAGTTCCTGATCTTAAAATCACTTCTGATAATAATGAGGGCAGTTATTTGCAGCTTTAGTGAATCCCACTGCAGGAGTTCAATGAACTGATCTGCTTTTCATCCACACCATGAAGGTTCTGGAAGGTCTAGTTCTGCATCTCCATGGAGGCCAGCATGTTTCATATATAGCAGCAGGGTGTGGCCTTAATGTGGGGATGGTATTTGTATTGCTGTAGTTAGCTCACAGCAGTGACAGCAGTGATTGTTTTCCATGTTTCTCAGATAAATGAATGAATGCATGCATGTTCTGTTAAGCTCAGTCTAACACTGATTGTTCCGGATCCTTCTCTTCTAACTTTCCTGCCTCTCTTTAAGCTTTCATTGACCTCTGATGTCTTTTAAATGCTGTCTTCTCTCTCCGCTCTAGCTCTGTCCGTCCCACTCGTCACTATACCGTGTTTCTGTCTGAGGATTCATCTGGAGACGAGCTCCAATATGACGAAGAGTCCATATCTGGCTTCCCTGACAGCTTTCTTTTCTCTGCGCCTTTTGACTGGTCACCTCTGTATGCATCTCTTTCTATGAATTTTCCATTTATTTCCTATTTCCCAGTGAAATCTGTACTAATTTCTAGCTGTAAAACACGTTAAGTCAGGACTCGGCATCCTTTGCTTTTTCTCTCTTGTCCTCGAGCTTAAAGGCCGATGGTCCTTTTTTGGTAAAACTTTTGAAACCAAAGTGCAATGACTAAACTCCCTCCGCTCCCTGTCTGCAGGCCCCAGCCCTACCGCTCCCTAAAGGAGGTGGAGCTAATGGAAGGAGATGACTTTGGTGTGGGTGCAGAGAGCCATACTGCACCTCCCAGCCCCGTCAATGAAAGGTTCTCCAACCTCAACCTCCTGGGGGACATTTTCAGATGCCAGGAGGAACCAGACTGCCAACCTGCCCCGCTGGCTAAGAGTCTAGAAGACCTGCGGACACCTAAAGACCCTGAGGAGCTTCAGGCCAAGTTCAACTTCCAGGTCAGCGGCTTTAAACCACGCTGAGAGTGTTCAAAGGAAAACGGCTGCAGACTTGGATCTGCGTTTATTACAGTACAGCACAGGTGCTGGTTCGAGTCACGGCTGCCAGTCGTAATACCAACCCGATCATCTGATCCCATTTCCTGTCTGCATACTTTCATCAAAAACAGACATAAAGGCCATGAGAGCCTAAAAGAATCTTAATGAAATATAACCAAAGCTCACCACATAAGCTAATGGTGATAACAGTAGGTTACCACATAAGGTAATGGTGATAACAGTAGGTTACCACATAAGCTAATGGTGATAACAGTAGGTTACCACATAAGGTAATGGTGATAACAGTAGGTTACCACATAAGGTAATGGTGATAACAGTAGGTTACCATATCAGGTAATGGTGATAACAGTAGGTTACCATATCAGGTAATGGTGATAACAGTAGGTTACCATATCAGGTAATGGTGATAACAGTAGGTTACCACATAAGCTAATGGTGATAACAGTAGGTTACCACATAAGGTAATGGTGATAACAGTAGGTTACCACATAAGGTAATGGTGATAACAGTAGGTTACCACATAAGGTAATGGTGATAACAGTAGGTTACCATATCAGGTAATGGTGATAACAGTAGGTTACCATATCAGGTAATGGTGATAACAGTAGGTTACCATATCAGGTAATGGTGATAACAGTAGGTTACCACATAAGGTAATGGTGATAACAGTAGGTTACCACATAAGGTAATGGTGATAACAGTAACTTACCACATAAGCTATTGGTGATAACTGTAGGTTACCACATAAGCTAATGGTGATAACAGTAGGTTACCACATAAGCTGATGTTGATAACAGTAGGTTACCACATAAGCTAATGGTGATAACAGTAGGTTACCACATAAGCTGATGTTGATAACAGTAGGTTACCACATAAGCTAATGGTGATAACAGTAGGTTACCACATAAGCTAATGTTGATAACAGTAGGTTACCACATAAGCTAATGTTGATAACAGTAGGTTACCACATAAGCTAATGGTGATAACAGTAGGTTACCACATAAGCTGATGTTGATAACAGTAGGTTACCACATAAGCTAATGTTGATAACAGTAGGTTTCCACATAAGCTAATGGTGATAACAGTAGGTTACCACATAAGGTAATGGTGATAACAGTAGGTTACCACATAAGGTAATGGTGATAACAGTAGGTTACCACATAAGGTAATGGTGATAACAGTAGGTTACCATATCAGGTAATGGTGATAACAGTAGGTTACCATATCAGGTAATGGTGATAACAGTAGGCTACCATATCAGGTAATGGTGATAACAGTAGGTTACCACATAAGGTAATGGTGATAACAGTAGGTTACCACATAAGGTAATGGTGATAACAGTAGGTTACCACATAAGGTAATGGTGATAACAGTAGGTTACCACATAAGGTAATGGTGATAACAGTAACTTACCACATAAGCTATTGGTGATAACTGTAGGTTACCACATAAGCTAATGTTGATAACAGTAACTTACCACATAAGCTATTGGTGATAACTGTAGGTTACCACATAAGCTAATGTTGATAACCGTAACTTACCACATAAGCTATTGGTGATAACTGTAGGTTACCACATAAGCTAATGGTGATAACAGTAGGTTACCACATAAGCTAATGTTGATAACAGTAACTTACCACATAAGCTATTGGTGATAACTGTAGGTTACCACATAAGCTAATAGTGATAACAGTAGGTTACCATATAAGGTAATGGTGATAACAGTAGGTTACCACATAAGCTAATGGTGATAACTGTAGGTTACCACATAAGCTATTGGTGATAACTGTAGGTTACCACATAAGCTAATAGTGATAACTGTACGTTACCACATAAGCTAATAGTGATAACTGTAGGTTACCACATAAGCTAATAGTGATAACAGTAGGTTACCATATCAGGTAATGTTGATAACAGTAGGTTACCATATAAGGTAATGGTGATAACAGTAGGTTACCACATAAGCTAATGGTGATAACTGTAGGTTACCACATAAGCTATTGGTGATAACTGTAGGTTACCACATAAGCTAATAGTGATAACTGTACGTTACCACATAAGCTAATAGTGATAACTGTAGGTTACCACATAAGCTAATAGTGATAACAGTAGGTTACCATATCAGGTAATGTTGATAACAGTAGGTTACCATATCAGGTAATGTTGATAACAGTAGGTTACCACATAAGCTAATGGTGATAACAGTAGGTTACGATATGAGGTAACGGTGATAACAGTAGGTTACCATATAAGCTAATGGTGATAACAGTAGGTTACCACATAAGCTAATGGTGATAACAGTAGGTTACCATATCAGGTAATGTTGATAACAGTAGGTTACCACATAAGCTAATGGTGATAACAGTAGGTTACCATATGAGGTAATGGTGATAACAGTAGGTTACCATATAAGCTAATGGTGATAACAGTAGGTTACCACATAAGCTAATGGTGATCACAGTAGGTTACCACATAAGCTAATGTTGATAACAGTAACTTACCACATAAGCTATTGGTGATAACTGTAGGTTACCACATAAGCTAATGGTGATAACAGTAGGTTACGATATGAGGTAATGGTGATAACAGTAGGTTACCATATAAGGTAATGGTGATAACAGTAGGTTACCACATAAGCTAATGGTGATAACTGTAGGTTACCACATAAGCTAATGGTGATAACTGTAGGTTACCACATAAGCTAATGGTGATAACTGTAGGTTACCACATAAGCTATTGGTGATAACTGTAGGTTACCACATAAGCTAATGTTGATAACAGTAACTTACCACATAAGCTATTGGTGATAACTGTAGGTTACCACATAAGCTAATGGTGATAACAGTAGGTTACGATATGAGGTAATGGTGATAACAGTAGGTTACCATATAAGGTAATGGTGATAACAGTAGGTTACCACATAAGCTAATGGTGATAACTGTAGGTTACCACATAAGCTATTGGTGATAACTGTAGGTTACCACATTCAATTCAATTCAGTTTATTTATATAGCGCCAAATTCACAACACATGTCATCTCAAGGCACTTTACAGTTCAACCAGATCAAATTGATACAAAGTTTTCTATCCAAGGAAAACCAGTTGATTGCACTGACTCATTGACTCAAATACAATCCCCCACACTAAGCATGCTTGTAGCGACAGTGGAGAGGAAAAACTCCCTTTTAACAGGAAGAAACCTCCAGCAGAACCAGGCTCAGTGTGAGCGGCCATCTGCCGAGGCCGACTGGGGTTCAAGGAGACAGAAGCAGAGATACAAAAAGCAGCTGTAAAAGGCGGCCCCGTCCAGGAAACACACAGCCAGGCAGACGAGCTCCAAGGCAGCTCCCATGCCAGAGGACGAAGAAAGCACATCCACTCAGTCACGGTCAGAGAAACAGGACCACACTGGAAAACAGGCCGATCTCCAACATCTATAAACAAGGGTGTTGATAGAAGCAGCACAGCTGATGTTTCTTTCCAGGATGACGTCACAGCCAAACAGGAACAGACGAGGCAAAGCTACTCTGAGGAAAAGCAGAGAGAGCAGAAGGTTAGAGATTGAACTAAGAGATTCTGCAGAATAGGAGAACAGAGAGAGAATGAAGCAGAATGATGAAATGGGGGTCCCTATGTCCTCCAAAAGTCTAAGCCTATAGCAGCATAACTATAGAGATAGCTCAGGATAACCTGAGCCACTCTAACTATAAGCTTTATCAAAAAGGAAAGTTTTAAGCCTAGCCTTAAAAGTAGACAGGGTGTCTGCCTCACGGACTAAAACTGGTAGTTGGTTCCACAGGAGAGGAGCCTGATAACTAAAAGATCTGCCTCCCATTCTACTTTTAGAAATTCTAGGAACCACTAGTAAACCTGCAGATTGAGAGCGAAGTGCTCTGTTAGGAACATAAGGAACAATCAGATCTCTGATATAAGATGGAGCTTGGCCATTTAAGGCTTTATATGTGAGAAGGAGGATTTTAAATTCTATTCTTGATTTAACAGGAAGCCAATGAAGAGAAGCCAGGATAGGCGAGATATGATCTCTCTTTTTAATTTTCATTAGAACTCTGGCTGCAGCATTTTGGATCAGCTGAAGGCTTTTAACTACAGTTTGTGGACTTCCTGATAGTAAAGAATTACAATAGTCCAGCCTTGAAGTAACAAATGCATGGACTAGTTTCTCAGCATCACCCCTGGACAGGAGATTTCTAATTTTTGCAATGTTCCTCAGATGAAAGAAGGAAATTCTAGAAACCTCTTTGATGTGGGATTTAAATGACAGGTCCTGATCAAAAACAACACCAAGATTTTTTACTTTATTATCTGAAATCAGTTTAATCCCATCCAAATGAAGTGACTGGCTAATCAGTTTCTTTTTCAGAGACTCTGGTCCAAAGACTATAACTTCTGTTTTGTCTGCATTCAGAAGCAGAAAGTTAAGAGTCATCCAGGTTTTTATGTCTTCAAGACATGCCTGTAATCTATGTAATGGGTTAGCTTCATCTGGATTTATAGACAGATATAGCTGGGTATCATCAGCATAACAGTGGAAATTAATCCCATGCTGTCTAATAATTCTACCAATTGGGAGCATGTATAAAGTAAAGAGAATTGGTCCTAGCACTGATCCCTGTGGTACTCCACAGGTAACCTTTGAGCGTGTTGAAGATCTATCATTAACATGAACAAACTGAATTCGATCAGATAGATAAGATTTAAACCAGTCTAGTGCTGTTCCTTTAATTCCAACAAAATATTCAAGTCTTTCTAAAAGAATATTATGGTCAACTGTATCAAATGCAGCACTAAGATCCAACAGGACGAGCACAGATACAAGTCCATTATCTGAGGCCATGAGAATATCATTAGTGACTTTCACCAGAGCTGTTTCAGTGCTATGATGAGCTCTAAAGCCAGACTGAAACTCTTCAAAAAGTTCA